TGGAAATCGGCAAGTCTACATGCGAGAGGATTCGTAAGGACTCTCGAAAATAGCACGTAGACACGACTCAGAAGGAAAACCAGTCTGTAGTTCTTCAAGAGAGCGTTGTCGCCTTTCTTGAAGAAAAAGACCATCGCACTTCCGCTCCACGCCCCCGGAGTAGTCCCACCATAAAGGACGGAATTAAAGTGCTTCTGTAGGACTTCAAGTGCCGGTTTCCCACCCGGTTTCAGAAGCTCCGCTGTAATTCCATCTTTGCCTGGGGCCTTGCCGTTTCTAAGGTGCTGAATAATCTTTTTCGGAAGTAAACGATCGGAAGGATACGTGTTGATGAGGCCTATAGATCATTCCATAACTTGTTAACTCAATTTCATGACTTTGCTTTCCTTTAATTAAACTAGAAACAACATGTGTAATAGAGGTAGGTGGAAAACAAAAAGTCAAGTATTACGAAAAGAAAACTTTACCTAACCTATAAATACTCAAAAACTAAAAATAAAATGTTACATAAAAATAAATATGAAAAATATAACTAAAATCTTTTGAAAAAGTGCATATATATAAAGCTCAACAAAAAACCAACTTAAAATACATTCTAGATAGTAAAAATACTTGCAAAGCTACTTGGAATTTAGTAAGTTCAAGTATAAATGAAACTACCCAAATTAATAAAATTGACATAATTAAATTTAATGACCAAACAATTAGTAACCCTGACATGATATGTGAATTATTCAACAATTTTTTTATTGACCTAAGTAACATGAAAAATACAAATAAGTCTAGTAACAATTCTGCTCAACCAAATACAGATACAAATCTAAATACAATTTTCTTACAACCAACGGAACCAGTGGAAATTAAGAAAATAATCAAAGAATTAAAAAATACGGATTCAGTTGGCTACGACGAACTTAGTACCAAAATACTAAAGTCATGTGCCTGTTATATCTGTACACCCCTGAGTTTCCTTGTAAACCTATCATTTGTCGAGGGCTCATTCCCGGAACATCTTAAGATTTCTATAATAAAACCAGTTCACAAAAAAGGAGATGAAAAGGATCTCAATAACTATAGACCAATAACTTTTATCCCCGTAATATCAAAGATATTTGAGAGAACTATGTACGATAGACTAAATAAATTTATACAAAGATTTGGTATCTTAACTGAAGATCAAATCAGTTTTCGCAAAAACAGATCCACAACTTTAACATTCTTCAACTTTATTAAAGACATAGCAGAGAGTAACGATAGAAAAACTCTAGTAACTGCTCTCATGCTGGACATAACCAAAGCCTTTGATCTTGTTGACCACAAAATTCTATTAAACAAAATTGAAAGTTACGGGATAAGAGGTCCGGCTTACACATGGCTAAGCAGTTACTTGCAAGGCTGAAAACAATGCACAAAAATCACTCGACTAACTCAAGCACGACAAGACAGCATATTTACCAAAGAACTACATCGTTCACAGTTTAGATATAATGACCGTGGTATCCCTCAGGGTAGTATTTTAGGACCTTTAATCTTCTTGCTATATATTAATAACTTCTTAGCTTAGCATAACTTATTAGCATCTTGTTCGCAGACACAACTTTTATATTTAAATGCACCAAAAAAGATATATATATATAAAACCGAAATAAATAATTCTATTAATACTATTATGACATGGCTTAATTCAAATAATATTTTCCTTAGTATTGAGAAAACAAAAGTAATACAAATTGGAAATTACAAAATGGAACATCATCATCATCATCATTACAGCCCTTCACAAGTCCACTGCTGAACATAGGCCTCCCCCAAAGAATGCCACAAAGCACGGTCCTGAGCCACCTGCATCCATCGACTTCCTGCATATCTTACCAGGTCGTCACTCCATCTAGTGGGGGGACGCCCTACACTTCGCCTGCCGGTACGAGGCTGCCACTCGAGAACCTTTCTTCCCCATCGGTTGTCGGTTCTTCGAGCTATATGGCCGGCCCATTGCCACTTCAGCTTACTAATCCGTTGGGCTATGTCGGTCACTCTAGTTCTACTGCGGATATCCTCATTTCTGAGTTTATCACGCAGAGAAACTCCGAGCATAGCCCTCTCCATAGCTCGCTGAGCGACCTTGAGCTTCCTCATCCGGCCAGCAGTGAAGGACCACGTCTCAGTTCCGTATGTCATCACTGGCAACACGCACTGGGTGTACAGTCTCGTTTTCAAGTTTTGAGGTATACCTGACGAGAAGATGTGCCGTAATTTCCCGAACGCTGCCCAACCGAGTTGAATCCGTCGATTGACCTCTCGGTCGAAGTTGGACTTACCTAGTCGGACTATTTGTCCCAGGTAAACATACTCGTCAACAACTTCGAGCTTAGTGTTCCCAACAACTACCGGCATAGGTGTGACATGGACATTAAACATGATCTTTGTTTTGTCCATGTTCATCTTAAGACCTATCCGTTGGGAAACACTATTGAGGTCATTGAGCATAGTGCTTAGGTCCTCCAGCGATTCTGCCATAAGGACTATATCGTCGGCAAATCGAAGGTGAGTGATGTACTCGCCATTGATGTTGATACCGTATCCTTTCCAGTCCAGAAGCTTGAAAACATCTTCCAATGCAGCGGTAAAGAGTTTCGGGGATATGACGTCACCCTGTCTTACACCTCTCTGCAATTGGATAGGTTTCGTACTCTGGTTCTGTACTCGGATAGCCATCGTAGCCCTACTGTACAAGCACTTCAACACTTCGATATACCGACAGTCAACATGGCATCGCTGAAGGGACTGCAGCACCGCCCAAATTTCGACGGAATCAAAGGCTTTCTCATAGTCCACATACGCCAGACATAGTGGCAAATTGTACTCCTCGGACTTCTGCACAATTTGCCGAAGGGTATGTATGTGGTCTATGGTGCTAAAGCCTTTTCGGAAACCGGCTTGTTCGGGAGGCTGGAAGTCGTCAAGTCTGCGCGCGAGACGATTCGTAATGACTCTCGAAAACAGCACGTAGACGCGGCTCAGAAGGGAAATCGGTCTGTAGTTCTTCAAGAGAGCGTTGTCGCCTTTCTTGAAGAACAAGACCACCGCACTTCTGCTCCACGCCTCCGGTGTAATGCCACCATGGAGGACGGAATTAAAGAGCTTCTGAAGGACTTCAAGTACCGGTCTTCCACCCGCTTTCAGAAGCTCCGCTGTAATTCCATCCTCGCCTGGGGCCTTGCCGTTTTTATATAATGGAACATATAATTATGAATATAAAATTCGAAGATAGAAAATGTTCAATCGGTTATGTCTGTAAAAATTGGCAAAAATTTTAACTGGAAGCCTCACTTTGACCAGGTTTGTACAAAATTAAACCGGTTTTTATATGCTTTAAAAACATTGAGAAAAACAATATCACAAAAAGCAGGCCTAACTGCTTATCACGGTTATGTGTTTTCAGTATTATTATATGGTCTGCCTTTGTGGGGGAATTATGTTGATGTGATTAGAGCGTTTAAATTATAAACGAAATGTGTGCGAGCGGTATGTGGTGCCTGGTTTCTTGATAGCTGCAAGCCCTTGTTCAAAAAGATACGCGTATTGCCTTTGCCATGCATGTATATTCCAGAAATATGTATTTTTGTAAAGCGACACCCGAATTACTTCAAAACCCACGCTGAATTTCTCGAAAGGCAAACAAGGCATAAAAATAGATTATTTCATCCCAAATGCAGCTCTAGATTTTATGCAAACAGTGCTCTTATGATGGCTATTAAAATATATAGTAAATTACCCAATAACTTAAAAGAAATGCCTTTGAATAAAATTAAAATTGAGATTAATGAATGGCTCCTTGAGAAGTGTTATTATAGTGTTAAGGAATATTTTAATTCATTGCAATGTTATTTAATGTATTAGATAATTTATTTAAGCTTTTTATATTATGTACAATTAAATTTGATTATATTAAGATAAATTTGCACACCTATTACAGAATTATTATGTACAGATTATTATTGAGACTTATACTAAATACCTGTATTACCTAAACATTTTATTCTTCAAATAAAGATTTTGACTTTGACTTTGAAAGTCATTGTTATCTCGCTCAGACTGACCTAGTTATTATATCTTATGATATTTAACTTTGACATCCAAATCATTATATTGTGAACAATATTTTTAAACAAAATCCACAAAAGATTAGGATATATAGCCTTGGCTTAATGAGGGCTAACAATCTTCCACTCACCAAATGTCGCTAGTTGTGACTGAGGTAAAGTTTTTTGTTACATAGTGTCAGTTAATTGAAAAATTAGTTTTAAATAATAGCTTATTTTTATCTATAGTATTATATTAATACACAACACAATGCGTCAGTGGTTTGATTTTTAATTTTTTGTACTTTTTTTTTTCTACTTCTAGTTTTATTTATAGTTTGGTTTATTCATTTCTAATCTAATTAATATAAAATATAACTAATAATACGGAAAGAAACATTAACCTTTACATTTTCCTAAGAAATTATCATCCCCGCTATGAAAACTGTCAAGTATTTTACCTCATTGAAAAGGTGCGCCGCCTTGGTGGCAGAAAAAGTCGTGGATGCCCTCGTTGATGAGTCGTAACAACAACAACATAATATCAATCATTAGCTCAGAACCTTATGCTTTAGTTATTTTTCTAAGATTATTATTGAGATGATTACTGCTTATTAGTTTGTGCTTATATTATAGCTGGATTAGTGAAAGATAATCACCACGTTTTAATATCGGTTATTAAACTCTTTGATTCAGGAGTCTTAACGGGAACTTGACCATCAATGGATTGCTTATCCTGTTTTAATGTTTAAATAATGAAATACATTGAAATTTGATGCGTTAAAGTAGTGCGATATTTTGTTATTTTAAGAGCTTTGAAATATTAATGTCATCAACTGTCTACTGACTAGGCTGTATGGTGTAGCACCTTTGCCTGTCTGAATTGGCGAATCGTAATAACAAACAAACAAACTCTTTGATTCGAGGTGAAATGTAAAATTGTGTCATTCTTACGAAAAGTTTTAAATAAAATAAATAAATTATTAAAATTCTGTTCAAATTCAATCATTCCATTAGGTTTTAAAATTAAAATAAATGTAAATTGTAAACTAATTTCTGCTCGGTTCTTGCTTGTGTAACTACGACTTTATCTTTTACGTCCATTTCTGCGAGTATCATCTTCGTCTTGAATATAATTCCACCATTTCTCTCCATTTCTGAAAAAAAAGAAGATGATAGTTGCTGTTTTATAAAAAATAAGTCATAAAAGGTAAACGCTTTTATAACTGTAATGAGTCATTTTACGCTCATCGCTGACATGTCCCGTTGCTCGTTGCTGTTAATAAAATCAATACAAATTTTCAAATTTTTTGCAATTTCATGATTAAAATTAGGGTTTGAGAGAATTCCTTCTATTACTTCTAAATATTATTATGTTAAGTATTTATTTAAATGTTGGAGAGTTAAGAAGCTCTTTATATCGGTTAAAAATTATTAATTTATAAATATATAAAAGATTTCAGTCGTAAAGTAATAAAACAAAGTTTAATTGGATTGTTAATTAATATATGTAAAAATTATTTTAATAATATAATTGTATCTTCACAAATATTTCCAAACTATAATATGTGGTAAGCATTTTACCCAATCGGGCTTAAATGTACAAAACATTATTTTTGTTAATCAAGTCCTTCTATAATATTATATTGCAAAAATTTAAACATACTTTCTGAGATATTAGTTTATGAAATTATTTTTTTCTTACCTGGAATGTACTTTTTTAGCTTTAAAACACACTTGTGGGTTTTTTCAATATGAACTTTTATAATCTATAAATTAATAATCTATAAATGTTAATTTATGTTACATTATTTCCAATTTAAATATCTAATTCACTATTAGCTTTTCTGTAAACAAATATGTCAATAGAACAAAACCAAAATAAATGAAATCAACTAGAAGAAGGGTCTGAATTAGTTCAATTAGGAGTTAGTTGCCTTATAAGGCAATCTATGGTGGAGGCCTATGTTTAGCAACTGAATAATTAATAGGCTGTAATAGTAACAGATTAGAAGGTATATAGTATTAACATTAATGATGAGTACATCATGCAACATTGATTTGTTGATGATATAGTCATGTTAGAATGGCTGGGGGACCTCAGCTATGCTTTATGACGTCAATAGCTCCCACTCCTCAATATCTCTCAATGGATATGTCTTAAGATAAACATAGACAAGACATTAATGTCATGAGTAAGTTCAATGTTATTTAGTGAGCTATGGAGAGGGCTAAGCTCAAAGTGTCTCAGCATGACAGACTGTAATGAGCTTATTTGCAGTTTAACCATAGTAACTGGCCTAACCCAACTAATGGGTAAGTTGCAAGTAACAATGGGCTGGCCATATAGCTCAAAGAATGGACAACCAAGAAATAAGGTTCTCTAGTGACAGCTGCATACTAGTAAATTGAGTGTAGGCTGACAGAGATGCAGGAAGTTGATGGAGTTGACTCATGGCCCTGCTTTTTGGCAATACCTCGGCAGAGACCTATTTTCAGCTGTGTACTTGTGAAGGCCTGTTATAATGGTGATGATGAAGCTGTAGTCCAACTTATAGTAAAATACTTCATAGCTGACATACACCTGTAGTTAATTTCAAAGAAAAGTTACTACAAATAAATGAGGAAAAGAGAAAAATGTAGAATGTTTTATAGCCTGTGGGATCCACCATAAAGTACTTCTAGACTCTTGAAATTCTTAGAAGTTTTACCATACGTCAACTGCTAAATATAGGCCTGACAAAGACTGACACACAACCACAGACCTGAGCTCATCTACTTTCATTAACTTACTGCATGCCTTTTCTGGTTATCGCTCTAACTAAAGAACTTTTCTTTTTAATTTACTTAGACCCATTTCAAAAGTTGTAATTATAAACCACTTCTTAACATACTGAATTAAGTTAAACATCAGATGGTTAATGTTTTGTATCTTCTCAATACTCATTATACTCTATATATTAATGATTATTTATATTACATTATTATTAGTAATATTCTCTAGAAAAAGATTTTGTCCCAATATTTCAATCTCAGTACAAAATCTAATAATTACAACAACTGATAATGTTAAATTCCTAGGTGTTTTTCTGGATTCTATGACAGGTATTCCTCATTTAACGTTTATTGCCCAAAAATGCGAAAAGTATGTAAATATCCTTCGTTCACTAACAGTTGTTTGGTGGGGATCTCATCCATATTGTTTAAAACTTTTATATAATGCTCCAATCCATGGTCATTTTGACTACGGTACATTTCTCTTGGAACCTTGTAATAAACAAGCTTCTAGATAAAATCCAACTCAAGTGCTTACGAATTATTTTAGGGGCCATGAAATCATCTCTGTTAAATGCTCTACAAGTTTTTTCTTTTTTTTTAAATACTAGTAATGCTATTAAACATTACTAATATTCACTTTAATTACTTCTGGTAAGCTTAAAATGCTTGTGTTAGAAGTGGTTCACGACATTAGTCTAATGGCGGATTCGGACCCACGACCTTTCGAGTTCGCCGTCCCCGCCCCGCCATTAGGTTATTGACGCTACAGAATGTAGCGAACCTCCTCTTAACCTACGAGGACAGTATCTTGCCGATTGTTTTTTATATAGAATATTTCAGCTATCTTCACATCCACTGCTTTCTAAACTGCATTCTATAAACTCTGGTTTGAAGAATAGCAACTAGTGGACTCATAAAGACGTTCCCTGTATCCATAGAAGCTACCAAAAGATACTTATCTTTAAATTTCCCATATTTCAAAGTATGATTAATCCTCTATTCGTATATCCATTTGAAGCTCTATGTTATCATCCTCCAGTTATTTTAGATTTCGGTGTGACTAAAAATTCCCCTGTAGCCCAACAAAAATTTCTAAGTATATTACGTGAAAAATGGGAAGGGTGGTTGACCCTTTTTACTGATGCGTCTAAACTCTCTGATAATAATTTTGTAGGTTCAGCTGTCTGGATATCGAAATATAAAATTATTTTAAATTTTAAAAATCCAAATGCTACTTCAATTTTCACTGGTGAAGTGGTTGCTATTTTAGAAGCAATTTTATTTATAGAAGCGCATAAAATTAACAAATGTATTGTTTTTACTGACTCATATAGTTCATTACAAAGCATTTCATCTAACCTGTTTCGAAGTAAATCGAAATTCTCAATTATTTTTGAAATAGAAGATGCACTGTATAGGTGTTTTTGTCAAGGTATTAACCTGAAACTTGCTTGGCTGCCAAGTCATAGTGGCATACGTGACAACGAAATTGTCGATTCCTTAGCAAAGCAAGCATCTACTTCTGGTTCCCCCATGCATCATATAACATATACTCATGACATGAAAATCCATCAGATGTCAGATTGGAACTCTCTTTGGAAAAAACTCAGAAGTTTATTGGTAAATATTATGCAGAACTCCAACCTGATATCCCCTCCAAGCCATGGTTTTTTAAATTTAGAAATGGCTCCAAACATAGTACATCTGTCATATGTAGCATTAGATTGGGACACACTTGTTCACCTGTATTTTTAGCAAAACTTAAGATTAAAGATAGCTCAATTTGTGAGTGTGGATTAGACGAAGTTACGAACGATCATAAATTTTTTAACTGCCCTAACCTCTCCGTTTCATTATACAATTTTCTTCCTAATAACATCCCTCGTCCTGTAAATCTTAAGTCTTTGTTAAATTTAGTTTACACTCCTTTTGTACAAACTTTATTAGACTTCATATCCATTATTAACATTAAACTATAGTACTTTTGCCACTTATCTATATCCATTTTATTATATTAGCAATCATTTTGTAAAACTAATATAATGTTAATTCATTTGAAAATAACTACATAACTAAGTTCGTAACATACGTAACGTAAGTGCATCTACGGAAACGGAAACTAGTCAATACTCTGTGTGACTCTCATGAAATACTTGACGCTGGCAGAATCCATTGGAAGGTGCCAAATTAGGGAAAAAAATATTAATGATACCTTTTTTTTTTCTTTTAGTGTCAACAATGTCGAGTATGTCAGATCGCAAGGCAGAGCTGGAGAGAAAGAAGGCGAAGCTACAGGCTCTGAGAGAAGAAAAAGATCGACGCCGTCGGGAAAAGGAGCAAAAAGATGCAGAGGAGGCTTTGGTAAGTATATACACTATTTTCTGATTTGAAAGGAAGGCTAGAAATGTCCCACTTGCTAATTGCGTGTGCCTCGCCGTGTATGACGGCGTAAGAGTCCATAGCATTGCCTCATCACCAACATATGTACCCATGTTAACATTCTACAATTGTTAATACCAATAGAAAACTATAAAAGTCAATGAAATCAATGATGAGTCATGTGACCATTGAGATATGTCATTCCCATTAATAATTTTCATAGTTTTCTACTAGCATTATCAATTGTGGAAAGCAATGTGGCTAAACCTACAGCCAATCTATTTAGTCAACAATTTTCCCAAAGTTTAAAGATTCGCTCTTTTTTTCTCAACCTTCTCTTTTTTTTCAATATACATAAATAATAATGCACAAAATCCACAAATGATTTGTAAGTTTTCATATTATTCATAAGATTTCTCTCAGTAAGAATGAAAAAAAAATTACTTCAATATTGTTCTTTGACATGTTGTATAGTCTAGTTGCCACGTTTAGCAGGCGATTTGTCAGCTGCAGTTTTTATATTATAGTTGTCATTAGGAAGATGCTGCTGGCCATCTTCTGGTTTGTTTCCCTCTGTCGCCTCTTATGACACCCACGGCATTCATAGGACGATATGGATTAGTAGATGGTCTTGCAATACCACTACATGAGTTCTATAGTAAGATTGAAATATACTATTATGTGATTATTTAACAGCAAAGAGCTTCAGTGGCATCGAGCCTGGACAGCCGGCGTGATTTAGATGAGATGCTGTCTTCATTGGGTGTTGCGCCAGTTAAAGATGTCTTGTCATCTTTGTCTTCTATGACGTCACTAACGCCACCACAGACTGCCTCGCCTGACGCCAGCCTGCCACTTGCTGACAAAGCCAGTTTACCAGCTCAAGGGTAATATAACTCCTATTTCTTTTTCGTATTTAAAAAAATGGCTCCATTGTATAAGCAATAACTCTCTGCAAATGTCAAACTTGAGAAATACAATGGGATATTACCTAAAAAAAAAACAAAATAATATTAGAGTTTAAGAAAACTTAAACGACATGCATTGATAATGGGCTGTGATGATCCTAGTTTTTTTATGTATAAGGGTGACAAACAACCGTACAATTCACCTGAAAATGGATGCTGTGGCCCATAGACATCTACATTTATCCACAATCAAGAATCAAAATACAAATGCATTGTTACCCCTGAGGACTAAGATGGAATGCCTTGTTTCCAGTAAAAAGGGTTTCCGGATCTCTACACTCATCATACAGAACACAGCAACATTAACTATTTTACATGATGCCGAAACTAAGCTAAAACTATGCTCAACATATTGTAAGAACAAATACACATACATATATCTAAAATCATTTGCAACCGTATTATATGGTTTTAGGGTCATATGTCTGCTTCCAGCAGTAAACTTTTACAGGCTGCTAAAGAAAAAAATAGAAATCAGAGTCACTTGAAATGTACTTAGCGCTCTGTCTATACTCTTTGTTGGTCTGCAGGCCACCCCAATAAAATTTCTGATCGAAATTTTAGGTAATGATTTACCCTCTATTCACCACATAAAGGCATAAATCTTACATGTGGTAGAGCCATGTTGCAGCTATATAAGTAGTATAGTTCTGGCACGAATGGGTCGGCTCGACCGGGGAACGACCACTCTCTCACAGAATACCTGGGTAAAATAGCAGCTTAACACTACTGTGTTTTGTATGGTGAGTGTAGAGGACCGGAGACCCGTTTTACTGGAAAAGAGGCATTCCATCTTAGTCCTCACGGGTGACAACGCATCTGCATTTTGATTCGCAAACGAGGATAGATGTAGATGTCTATGGGCCACAGCAACCACTTACCATCAGTTGGATGTGTGCTCGTTTTTCACCCTATCCTATAAAAAAAATATAAGAGCCTGGTAATCTGAATGATTAAAAAAAAATTAAGAACATATGAAATCTCTGCCTAACCCCTCTGGGTGACAGGCGTGAGTGTTTGTGTGTGTTATGAAGTCTACCAACACTTAAAATGGAACAAATTTTTCCCGCCCCAAACCCTCCCGCCAATAAAAATAAACTATTCTATATATATATATTAATAAATATTATGTAGCTTATTACCGAAATCCATTTGAGCCAGATAGTTTAAGGGTTAGGAACTTGCCTTAAAATTTGACCAGTATCAATGAAATTGTTAATTGCAATTTTCTGTGTCTGGGGAAACAAGAATCGAAATTTCAATGATGTCTGAAGTAGTACACGGTTATTTTTTTTTCTAAAGTCTATTTAAATGAAGCCTTTCAATATGTCAATATAATACTCAGAGGCCAGAAGAAACCTGTGCAGCTGCAAGTTGTATCAGTGCAATCCACTGACATTCCACCCAAGGAGAATGTTACATACACCAAGCAAACCCAGACCACTGCTTCAGGGGTCACGGAGCTACGAGATGGTAAGTTCTGCACTGCTCTTATAATATTAACTTTTTTTTTTAAATATATTTTATGTCATTTAAGATTTTGAAATAATTATTGGATGTTATACTTAAAAACTAATAAGTCAACAAATTAATGGTCCTTTTCATATTCAATCATTTGATAATTTAATATTACTGAGGCAATTTCTAATTAGTAGCATATTAGTCTAACATAGTTTAATTGATTGTCTATGTGTTTAATTATCTGTTAACTGGAGCCTTATATAAAAAAGTAAAGTAATTCACTAAGGCAGATTAAATATGCAAATTCTCAATATTCTGTGTATTGGACTTATTTTTTTACAGAGTTATTCTTGTTCATATAAATCAAGTAAAAACTGATTACAAGTGTGAAATATAATTAATTGTGTTGCTCTATGTTTGATTTGAGAATTTGTGTTGGTTTATTAGATTTATTAAATTAATAATATTAATAATTTAACTAATTATGTTTGGGTGATGGTTTAACAATTTCATTTGCAAATATGTTTGCTAACATATTATTATAAATCAGCTGATCACTCATGTGTTAAGCAAATAGGAAACTTTTTTTTAAGAAATGCAAACTATTTGGCCATTATTAAAATTTTTCTATAAATTCTTTTTTTCACATTTTATTTTTGTTGCTATATTTTGTTACCTAGCCCTATCAATTATAGTAAATGAGACCCTTATTTGCAAATGAGATCATTTATTTCTTACTGCAACCAATGACATCTGTAGTAGCGTGAGCAGTATTTACTTTTCACGCATCGTTTTTTATTTTATTGTTGCGCCTGCTGCCTGAATGTTATAAAATTATAATAAAAGTGCTCATTTTTCTCCTACCTTTCTTATACCGCTAAATAGTTACTTTCATGGCAAATGACATGCAATTTTGTAATTAAATTTTATTATAACACTAGCTCGCCAGGCCGACGTTGTTCTGCCCTTTTCGACGACCCTTCCTATAAAAATCCTTAAATTCGCAATAAAAAAAATATTGAGTGTCACTTATCAGGATAAAAACTATCCTATCTCTCAAGTTGGACGAAACTGCACACAGCGTGCAAAATTTCATTGTAATCAGTTCATTAGTTTAGTTTTTAGAGTCCATCGCGGACAAACAACGTGACACGTAATTTTTATATATAAAGACTAGCGATTGGCCCTGGCTTCGGGTGTTTCCTGGATTGATAACAGCGCCATCTACAGGGTCCAATTGTGGATCTAAACACAAAATTCATCAAAATTGATTGAGCCATTTTTGAGTTTTTCTGAGACTAACGCACCGCAGTTGATTTTTATATATTATATAATATATACACAATAAGATTGTTAAACAAACATTCCATGTGATGTTAAGTGATTACTACAACTGATGGATCCATCCATTAGAGCCTATAAAAGTCCACTGCTGAACATAGGCCTCCCCCATCTACCTATAGATTGCCTCATAAGAAGAATTTTGCCATAGATTGGCATGGCCCATCTTCTGTTTTAGTTTTCCCTGTTACCTTACTACATCCACAGGTCGATATGAGGTTGTGGATATTCTTACACCACCACTACACAATTGGTGCTGCACTATGCAGCTGCAACCTGCAACCAATTTGAAATAATGAAGGCCATAGATGTCACCACTAAAGACAAAGATGAAATACCTCACAGTCTGTTCATCTCAGCATGCAAACCAGAACGAAAGTATATGGTTATATTATTTATTAACAGTGACAAACGAACAAAGCCTTCCTGAACATAACTGAATGCTGTTGCCCACTGTCACCTACATCCATTCTTGATTAAGAATCAAAATGCAGATGCGTTGCAACGCTGAGGACTTAGACGGAATGCCTTATCATCAGTAAAAAGGGTCTCCAGTTCATTGTACTAATGGGTGTCCCTCAGGGCTCGATTCTCGGCCCATTCCTCGGCTCCGTGGCGCAGTGGCTTAGCAATGAGTTGCTGCGCTGGGGGGCGCGGGTTCGAATCCCGCACGGAACATGTATTTGTATGACCTACAAATAATTGTTCCGGGTCTGGATGTTTGTCCTTGTGCAATTTGTGTTTGTAAACTGCCTCCACGATTCAGGATAAATTCCTAGTGTGGGGGTAACGTTTTTAAAAAGAATAATAATAATAATAATTCTTATTTCTAGTGTATATTGATGACTTACCTTCTCTTGTAGGGGATAATCATGATATAGTATTATTTGCTGATTATATTTCCTTGAACGGCAGGGTCGAGAAGGGACGCCCTAGACGAAGGTTTATCGACCAAATCGGCGATACATTAAAAATGGGCCAGATTAGGAGTACCCTTAACCGACGAGCGTGTATGCGTAGATATATGGATGTAAAAGAGGCGAGAGAGGTGTGTCAGGATCGCGCCAAATGGAAGTCCGTAGTCTCTGCCTACCCCTCTGGGTGACAGGCGTGAGTGTTTATGTATGTGTGTGTGTATTTCCTTGATTTTTAAACTTAAACGACAATCATTTAAATGTGACGAAGTCAATAAAGCTATATCAAAATTAGTGCATTGGTTTAACGTTAATAATCTACATTTAAACGGAAATAAAACTAAATGTATTAAATTTACAACAACGAATGTTAAAAATCTGAGTACCAATGTGTTTTTAAATGGGGAAGAACTGAGCCCTGTTCAATCCACTGTTTTTCTTGGCATCACTCTCGACGCAAAGCTTCAGTGGGGCCACCATATATCCAAACTAGCAAGCAGACTAAGTTCTGCAGCCTATGCTGTAAAAAAGATTAGAGGTCTCATTAGTGTCGAGACAGCTAGATTAGTTTATTTCAGTTATTTCCATAGCATAATGTCTTATGGGATTTTGCTATGGGGAAATGCGGCTGATTCAGAAACTATTTTTGTTTTACAGAAGAGGGCCATTAGAGCTATTTACAACCTAAAACCTAAAAAGTCTTAGAGATAAATTTAAAGAAATAAATATATTAACTTTGGCCTCTCAGTACATTTACGAAAATTTAATGTATGTTCACAAAAACAAAGGTAGTTTTAGTAAAAAAAGTGATATACATTCTGTAAACACTAGGAACAAACACAAGTTAGTGATACCAGTTTCAATTGGCAATGTATACGCTATTAAAACAAGGTCCCGGAAAGTGTACAGGCTCTCTCTTTTAGCAAGTTTAAATGTTTTGTTAAGTTGAAACTGTATAAAAAGGGTTATTATAGTATAAATGAATACATGGTTGATAATAACCCCTGGGAATGAGGTGATCGCTTCCAAGCTGTTTCTAAAATAAATTTTGTACTTATATAGTTTGTACAACCATTATTGTAAAATTTGCTTTAAAAAAAGTCCCACTAGGTTTCTTGCTGGTTCTTCCCAGGACAGAGGTTTTTTTTTCGAAGTAGTGGTAAAGTAAAAAATGATTTTCAATAAGAATTACACATGTGAATATATATATTGAATAAAAAATTATTCTATTCTATTCTACTACACTCACCATATGAAACTAGTATTATGTGAGTGTGTGTCCCCCGATCGAACCGACACATTCGTGTTGCAGCCATAAACCAGCAGCAATCACCACGTAAAATTATGTAAAAGATAAAACTAAAATAAAAAATGAAGTTTAAAAGCAAATTAAATCATTTTAAATTTGTCACAAAAGTTTTGCCTATTATACATTCAGGCTGCAGATTTTTAAGCAAAATTTTGGTTTCCACTCAGCTTACCATGTCCTGTGCCACTCATCCTCGTGTTGTCTCTATTTGTACATTCATCTAAGCAAAAGTAAATACTGTTTTGAGTCTTTGGTGCAATGTTTGTGTTTGTGCTACCATAAAAAAAGGCTGCTCTTCCAATGCATCACCGCTTGCAGGATACATGGAGGACTGGTGGCGGCCACGTAAAGGTAATTTGAACTTTATTAACAAAGCATCACAATTAAATTTTGCACTAACACTGTAAAAAACAACTGTATAAACATTCTTGGCAAACTGTTGAAATACAAAATTTCATTAAAAAGCATTTGATATTATTATGAGATAGAGGCTAAACCGGCTCAAGTTAGTTATAAATCATCCATGAAATTAAATTTACGAAATTGTAATATTGTGAAGCTCACAATCTTTTAATATAAAATTGTTTTAACGCTCAGACAATATATTTGTTTTTAATTTAAATTTTCACTGAATTAAGCAGTTGTAAGTTATTTAAATTACAAAAATTGCGGATCTGTGACAGATTTTTATTAATGTTTTTTTTTACAATGTTTGTGCAAACAGAATATTTTATTTGTAAAGTGTATAGCCTTCCTCAGCACAAATTACCTTAAAAAAATTACGTATTGCCTTAAAAAATGAAGGCAAATTGCATGACTTTACTTTCTGCTGACATTTTTTTAAATCGAATATTTATAACAAAATATGTCAAGGCATGGTCCATTTCTTTATGAAGAAATGTGCATGATTTTATAACAAGATTAACAAGAAATCATTGTGGATGATTTCAATTTTTATTAAATGCACTCAAAAAATATAAATTATCTGTAGAATAAAAAAAATGTAACTTAAGACAGGATTTGAATTTTTTCCGTTCAGCAATAATAATGTGTGCTAAAAGTTGTAAGTTATTCAATACTCCTATTACCTGACTTAAGTTACCTCCAAATGTATGAATTCTATAATCGTTTTATGAATTCTTATACAGTATGATATAAAATTTGTAAATTTTTAATGACAGTTTGTTTTCATTTTTGTCCCTCTATAGCACACGCAACCGACTACTACGGTAAGTTATTATTCCTCCAGGAGCTTTTTTTTTCATATGCTCTAACATTACTTCTGTACTTCCAAGACTAACTCGGTGTCGGTTTGTAATTTACTTACTACACATAATTCGGATTTAGACTCTATATACATATCTTTTCGATCACGCTTCTAGATGTTTCCTTACTAACATTATTTTTAAATGCGTTTAAGTCAGATTACTTGATATTCTTTTACAATCTTATACAATAATAATGCACTTTATTTATCAAGAAATCTGATCTATATCCATGCTGGGGTACATAAAAAATTCGGAACTAATTTATTGTCGTATGATGTGGTTATCCATTCCGTTACCAGTAAGTGGCCTTCCAGAGTTCTCCACGTGGTGTTTAACCACAATCTGGCCGCAGAATAAAGTGTAAAGAGTACATATACAAAAATATATTTGTAGTAATATGTGTATTTGAATTATGGTGGTGGTATGGGGGTTGCCATATCATCTCACGCTGACTTACCCTTCCGATTCAACTAACCTTGCACAGGTCTTAACACATAGACCCATTTGATTGAACTTAAGGACTGCTTGTTGCGGCCGGCTGGGCTTAGTTCTGCAAACAATTATGACGTCACTAACGCTATCGATCGGTGATGGTAACGGTGTTTTAACGTTTATACTTCTACACAGTGGCAACATTCTCACTTGATTGTCATGGTAATATTATTTTTAATATCACACGGGACTGTCGAATAAAAAAAAATTACACTTGTTTGTGGATCTACTTCCATAGCTTCTGTTTGGTTTAAAACATAAGCTGTAACAGACAGTCTTTAGTTAGACAAAATGGTGTCATTCTAGGACATGCTGTAACATATCAGAGCACTGTTGATACGCTAATATATGTATAGAGTTTTGTTTATTTTTGTAATAATTTTTATAATGGTCGAAAGATACTGACAATGTTTTTTATTTTCCTCCCTTTTTCAAGACGAGTACAATCTAAACCCGGGTTTAGAGTGGGAGGACGAGTTCACAGGTAGGTTTCAATTCCGAATCACAAGAACAATCATTGAAACTAAATCTTGCCCTTGGTAGAGCCTGTGCTGCTGTCACTTGGCATGTTTTGTTTTGTAACTTTCCTATATCTTCATATTTTATGTAACGCTATTTATGAGTATAGTCGCTAACCTAAACATTTAACTCGGCACTATTTATGGAAGAGGTTCATCCGTATCTTATACAGGTTGTTATATATAAATATAACTTGTGAGTTACACATAAAATTAAAATTAAAAAATAAACAACCTGTATAAGCGTGCGGATTGGTGACAAATTCTATATTATGTTTTAATTTCTCAGATAATTATATATATGAATTATATGTGTTATTTAAAAATATTACACAACATACATATTATAACTGACAGTCGCTACTCGCTTACATCATTAAATAGGTACTTACTATACTGCATGTAACAGATATATATGTATCTGTGCATGACAATAAGTCATCGTGTTTATTTTATTATTATTAATATATATTTTTATATTATTTGAGACTTTATCTCTCTAGTGGAGAGCTCGGGAAGTTTTGTTGTTTTTTTTTTGCCTAATCGTAAGCTTTCTGACACCAACGATTTTGACGCTTTTTGTTACATTCTCACAATTTTTTTTTGCGTGATTTTATATTACACATTCAGTTTTTTAACGATAACAAAACCGCTTCAGGTGGAACAAAATTTAAACTGTCACAAATTAGTAGAAGCATAATTTTGTACTTATATTTAAGTTATGCGTTTTCTACTTTGTTTTCTCATTAAAGTACTAATTAAAGTAATCTTTGCTTTTCTGATATAATAATGATTTAACAATAAACGTATAACTATAAATATAGGGTAAGAATGAGGATCTCGAATACATTATTTATAAATTTTGTATAACATAAAAACTAATAACTGATAATTATTATCAGTATTTTTTCTTCTTTCTCGACCATTTTTAGTAATTCACCGCTGGGCACGCGCTTCTCCTATTCCTCTCCTATAGCACGGAGTATTTGCCAAATCAACTCGCTTAACGAGCGAGTTTTGACTCTGCTTTCTTTGTATTCTACGTCCAGTTCTAAAAGAGATTATTCTACTACCATATATCGGAAGGTATTATATCTTTCTGGGAGTTTTTCGTAGTCGTCTCGTCCATGGTCCTCCCAATGAGATGATGAACTCTCTTATGTCGCCACCATATGGCAATCAAAATCACATATTTACTAGATGTGATTTTGAATTCAAAATTACAATCTAGAAAAGTAGAAATACCTAAAAACTATACCATGGAGTACGAATTATAGTAGTAGAAGAGTAATGTTTGGTATATTTTGTTTCAACTCAGCCGTTTTTTCTTTCAACTTCGAACAAATTCGAGCATCATTTTACAAAAATAGTACTCGATATTTTAAAAAAGAAAACTAACAATTTACGAATATCTTAAAATAAGATATTTGGTGCAGAAAGTAATTATGGTTATGTGGAGATATAAATTGTTGATCGAAATTTTTTGTAGTTCCAAGGTGTTGGTGTGCATGAACGAAATTATTAACAACACGCTGTACGCAGTCATCGTAGAGTATAGCTGCTGCTTATACAGGGTTATTTTTCAAAGAATAGCCATATTTTAAACTTAAGTTCAAATATATAAATAATGATATACCGTTATTGAAGTTTTTGAAAATACGAGTAAATAAAGCTTCTACTTTTATTTGAAATTATCCCAAATTAAATGTGATTTATGGACAACAACTACGCATACGGGCGCACCTCTGTGTGCGATTCAATTCACAACGTTTTTGTCGACCGGATCGACCGTTACGAATGTTTGCGTACGTAGTAAAATAGTAGGCGTTAGATATTTATGAATGACAATCAGCTAAAATAATTCACAATACTACGCATTTTGAATTTAAAAAGTAAAAAGGACAATAATTGAGATTTTTTAAAATACATTTTCTTCACCACTTGTCCATATTACTTATTGTGAACCTTCTCTGCAAATTTGGCCGGTAATTGCAAAATGACCCTGTAGATTCGTAGTTATTTTCTTCTGGAGTCAACTCACTCATCTCGTAACTGCCAGTAGACTAAATACACGTACACGTAATTCGTACCTATACATACTTGAGCTACACATAGCCCAATGGTTTCATGAAGTTATTTAATTAAATATTGTTGCGGGGGCAAAACCCCATGAGAGATGAATGAGAGCCCGTGAAAGTCAAATATTACCTTACGAATTTTATTTTAAATCTCACTCATCGGCGTTTATAAAATCATTGAATATTTTAAAAGGTTCTCGATGTAGATAGTGTTGTTCATAAACAAATTTGTGCAAATCATAGGAAACGACTGACGCTAAATGAATCGCTAAATGTGGCATTAGAATCACCAAATTGATTGCGTTTTGCTCCGAAGTCACATCGCGTCAACATGTCGCGCTGTGTCACACCGTGATATGTACCGTGGCATGGATTTTTAATACGTAGGGCAAAGACTTCTATGTACTAGACCAGACTTCTATATACCCCAATAAACGGGCACTACGGTACTTATATAACCCCCCCCCCCCATGGGAGAGGTCTATTTTCAGCAGTGAACTTTAGACTGTAACAATAAGTTACGGTCAATTCTCCGTAACTTCTCTAGTTGAATATGAGCGAACGAGGAGGCTAGTTGTTTGTTTTGTAAATCAAAAAGAATTGACCGTAAGTTAGTGCGCAATTTATTAGGGCCGCAGTGCCCGTCTGTGTAAATGTAAAACGCCGCAACAGCACGATAAAGGTGCCACGTCGCCTCCGTGACACTGTGTGCCCTACATGTGATTTAATCACAAGTCTATGTTGCATAATACAATTATTTATTTCATGAACGTCGTAAAATTTCATTAATACTGTGTCCATTTTTTTAAACAGTTATGTTTCGATGCATTAATTATTCGGTTAAATAGAACAAATTTTCATTATTTACGATTATTTTCGATCCAGTATTTTCGCGAAACAAATTTATGTGTGAAATAATAACTTCATGAAATTATTGATTATTGTACGGCAGATTTATGTACCACTCTGTAAGTTCACCTAGCTGCTCACTGCTGCTATCGTCCATTTGACAACATCATGATGGCGTTATTTTTACAAGGCATTATTTTAACTTTCATTTAATACATGTTAAACAAAATACACTTCCAAGTGCAACTAATTTAAAAAAAGTGTATAAAATTACTATCAACTTTTTTTTACCGTTTTGAGATAAATTCATATTGAGACTGGACTTGCAACGAATATTCGGCTATCGTTCGGTATTCGGCCTTTTCTATTCGGTCGAATACCGAATACTTAAGTAAGATGTTTCAGTAGTCAGATAATTATAATAAAAAAAAAAATAGATAATTTATTTTTCTTGTAATCGGTAAGTAGTCATAGGTACCTACATGATTAACTTCCGTATTATAAAAATTAACAAAAAAACTGTCAGATAAATGTCTATGCACTTCAATTAATGTAATTAAAATTTAGAAGTGGAAGATATGGACAGATACACTTAATTTTTCTATACTCGCAGGCAGTAGTTTACTTCTTTTCTTCTCGTAGACAATCCCAGCTGCAGAGAAAAGACGCTTTGAATAAATACTACTTCCTTCCCGGCCGAAACTCTTGCCTAATATTCGGCTATTCAGCCAGGAGGTCTGCAGAATATTCAGTATTCGGCGTGTGGCTGAATATACTATTCGTTGCAAGTCTAAGAGCTTAAGAAAACTTAAACAACACGCATTGATCATGAGCTGTGATTATCCTAGTGAGAAAACTGGATCATAATCGTTAAAATATTATATTGTCATCGGCCCTTGATACGGATACAAATTTTCAAGTCAATCGGCCGTCTACAAGTTGGTGAAAATTACATTAAAAGATTCCGTTACATAGATAGATACGCGCGAAGCTAATAAAAGCATATTAAAAACCATCAACACTTAACACACACTCATTACACGAAAATAAATCAGCCGTACAAAGTGCACGCTTCGCTCGCCGGTCGCGCAAGGGCCATCCTTATTCACCGTCCAGTGCTTACATTCGACGGCGACGGCGTGCGGCAAGGAGACGACGAGGAAGCGGCGTTCCACGGCAAGCTGCCGCCCGGTATCCTCCCGCACGGGCTGCCCACTGTCAAGGAGGTGCAGCCCGCTATCACTGACACTCCACAGGAGAAGAAGGAGGAGGAGGAGAAGAAAGGTGAGTGCTTTTAAAGTTAAAACTTCTTTAGAAACGTAATTTGAAACTCAATGAAACAAAAAATTAACACTAACAAAAGACAAACATTTATACGATTTAGCCTGCGAGAGAATGAGTTAGAATACTGTATAAAGTGTTATGAAAATATTTAAGTAGATGTCAATGGTAAAGGAGAAGGAGACGTCTCCTTCATATTGGCCCAAGTGTTAACAAGATGAAAGTAAGACCATTTGAAAGCGTATATATAAACAATTTATACCTGAAAATCTGGCAAGATTTGTCAATCCAGCTGAGTTATTGTAGAATAAGTAAAAGTGTGATTATCTATTACCTACACTATACCAGGTGATTTTTCACTGTTATTACACTGTAACAGGCTATTTTTCACTATATCTACTTAAAGATATAAAAGCAGGATCAGTATAAAATCACCAAAAAAGCTGTAGTTAATAATGAAACAATATAGTGAAACGATTAACGAAAGTTAAAACTACAACAATTAAGTGAAGTGAATATTAGGGATATCGATCTGAGTTCGATTACTTGTTGTTGTAACAGTTACTTGTTGGAATTTTGATATTTTGTATTTTTTATTATTATTTTGTAGATATGTACGTAATTTTTCTTATCTCCCTAGTTACCACAGAAAAATAATCGAAAATATGTAGATATTAAAATGTTTAATTTAATCGAGAATCGATTATATTGCGCTCATTTCAAATCGAGTCGAAAATTTGTCTTTTGCTTTTAAGTAAATAGTTTGAAGTTTGAACTGTCAAGTCAAGTTTCAAAATGAGAAGTCTTCTATTGGAAAATAACGTTCAGAAAAGAGAATTTCACTAGTGTATTCTTTATGGTAATCGATTTATTGCCATAAATAATATACTACAATCGATTTTCTAACTTATTTCTTATTTTATTGTTTTTTCGAAATCTAGGTAATAATATAAAATTAAAAATTTTGTACAGCAGACTTCAATAAAGTTATTAAGAATAACTCAAAAACCATTGGTCTGACCTTGATCAATTTCATATGGGACCACACGAGAAGTACCAGCTTTAAAATAAAAAAGAATCATCGAAATCGGTTCACCCAGTAAAAAGTTATGAGGTAACACACATAAAAAAACATACAGTCAAATTGAGTACCGTTTCCTTTTTGGAAGTCGGCAGAAAAGAGCTTCTTTTTTGTATTTTATTTAAGAAAATTATGGCCAATTTTTTAAAGTATAAACCAATTAGTTAACTTCAGGCCCAAAAATCCCATTCTCCTGTGCATATATAGTATATAATTAACAGTTTCAATTGGGTCAGCACTGGGGATAAAATTGCAAATGCATGCTATAAAGGTTATAGGATATGGCCTTCTTGGCCCTGGTCTGGATGTTTGTCCTTGTGTAATTTATGTATGTAAACTCGTGTTTTTAAACTTTTAAAATGCATTTCTTCGCCTACGTATGATATTTCATAAGATATTCAGATTATCTGTTGGCACTTGTGTGACAGTGCGCGAGCTGAGCACGGACGAGAAGCAGACGATCATGCTGTCGGCGGAGTTCCAGAAGTTCATGAGCCGCGCGGGCCGCGTCATCGAGCGCGCGCTCGCAGAGTCCGTCGACATCTGCACCGACTACACCGGCGGCGGCGACGCAGAGGACGCACAGTTAGTCTACGCACTAAACACACCTCCGCACACCTCCAAACACCACACACCTCCGCACGTCTCTGAACACCTCCGCACACATCCGCACTCCTCTGTACACCTCCACACACCTTCACACACCTCCAAACGCCTCTGCACTTCCCTTTACACGTCTGATTATCTCTGCTATCCTCGCCGCTGCTAATCCTGCTATAAATATACCAGACTCATAAGGAGACAAGAGACGGGATTCAGAGGAAAAGGCTGCTTAAGTATTCTGTTGTGTGTTTTTACGTAATGTTACTATTTACATAAATGACAAAACAAGCTAACAACAATTGCACTTAAACAAAGAAGGGATACCAATGCAATTGTCGATTCTAAGGACTTAAATGAAATTCCTCACTGCCAGTAACTATTATTGTAATAAATATTGATACAAAAAAGTATCTAAGTACGTACATTTTTATTTGTCATTGATTTGTTTCCATGCCACGTTTGGATTATAATATCAATCGATTTATTTTTAAAGGTAATCTGCAATCTGTCGGTGTCCATTTGATGACATTTTCTTTTACAACACTACACAGTATGCTTGTTAAAATGATTGTTTATTTTTATTAAAATAAATGCTAAAATAGTGTAAACATTTGACTCAGGGACGACAAGTCGGACGCGCGGCTGTCGCTGGTGCGCACGTTCCACGACGAGCGCTGGTCGCGCGGCCGCTGCGTCACGTGCCTGGACTGGTCCACCGCGCACCCCGAGCTGCTGCTGGCCTCCTACCACAACAGTGATGACGCACCACACGACCCCGACGGAGTTTGCCTCGTGTGGAACACCAAATACAAGAAAACCACGCCCGAGGATATTTTCCACTGTCAGTCGCCCGTTATGAGTGCCACTTTCGCTAGGTAGGGGTTCACTCATGTGTATACCGGGTGACTTTAACCGTGAGGAAAAATAGGGTGTTATTGGTTAACGAAGTAGAAACCTATGGCATAGTTATTTTTTATTTTCAAGAAATAAAAATAAATATTAACAATAACAATTCAAATCATGAATTTTATTGTTAATAGTTGGCAACATACAACAAAGTAATGGCAACTACTCGTGGCAAGTATTAATAAATTTGTCATGCCCTTGACTTTGAATTGGCCACTTCAAAAAAAGTTTTTCTGCCACTTTAAAAAGTTAACTTCAAATTAATAGTATTATAATAGATCAATTTAATTAATCGTCAATAGAAAAACAATAAATTTATAAAATTGCACAATAAGCTGTGGCTTTTACTTTGTTCTCCCTGTTTGTTCCTCACGGTAAAAAAGACATTATTTTTTTCCATTACAAAATATAATTTGAGTAACCTTTTTGAAAACGGTTATTTTAGTGTTTAATAAAAGTATTAATATTTTAAATCTTATTTTTTCCTTCAGGTTCCACCCCAACCTGATCCTAGGAGGCACATACTCTGGTCAGATCGTGCTGTGGGACAACCGAGTCCAGAAAAGAACGCCTGTACAGCGAACGCCCTTGTCTTCGCTTGCGCATACGGTAAAGCATATTACTAAACTCTATTTTTTATGACGTGGAAATGTTCGCTTTTTAAATTATGTAAAAATTTCTTGTCGGTGAAATACGCCACAGTTCTCTATCTTCTGTATCGTTTTTGTTTGAACATACGATCTGGCAATCACTTTTCTTATTTTATTGTATTATATTTCTTATTTATCATATTATATCTGATCTGATACGAAAACTTGTAAAGCTATCCTCTGCCTCTTCTTTCTATTTCCAGCATCCAGTTTACTGCCTGTCAGTAGTAGGCAGTCAGAATGCTCACAACTTGATCTCGGTGTCAACTGATGGGCGCATGTGCTCCTGGTCCCTGGACATGCTGTCGCAGCCGCAGGAAACCCTGGACCTGCAGCACAGGCAGAGCAAGGCGGTCGCCGTCACCGCCATGGGATTCCCGCATGGAGACGTGAACAACTTTGTGTTGGGAAGCGAGGACGGCAACATCTATACGGGTATGTTTGGAGTCTTTTAGAAGAATTATGCTAACAAATTATAATATCATCTACATAAAAATTTTCATTCGTAATTTTTCACCATTTTTTTAAATCTTTATTTTAAGAACTTAAACAAAATGCGATTATGGCGCTCAATATCTAAATAACATTCAATTAACCATGCAACAAAAATGAAAAAAGTACTATTTAGTTGACTGATTTGCGGAGAATATTATGTTATATAATCTAACCAATAATTTTGTATCAACGTGGCAACAGAAACGTTGTTAGCAATTATCGCCCAATTACCCTTGTACCTATACTTTCAAAAGTATTTGAAAAGTGTATGTATAAAAAGGCTCCTAGAATTTTGCAATAAGTTTAACATTATAAATAAAAATCAACTTTCAAAAACATAAATCGACTAACTTTGCTATTCATCACCAAATCAATACATTGTTGACCAATATTAATGATAATTATTTGACTACGGGACTGTTTTTTGACTTGACTAAGGCATTTGACTTCATATCACACGATCTATTATTAAATAAATTGGAAAAAATAGGAATAAGGGGTATTACGTTGCAATGGATTGCTTCGTATTTAACAAATCGTACTCAATGTGTCACAATAACAAAATTAATCAATAAAGAACTAAGAACATATAAATCTAACTGCAATGAAAATATTAATGGTGTTCCACAAGGCAGTATCATAGGGCCCATATTGTTTATATTATATATTAATGACATATCTGATGTGACAAGTCATGAATGTTATTACATACGCTGATGACATTTCGGTTATAATTAGGACTAAAAAAAATAAGAATTCAATATACAATCACGAATTGGACATAAATAATACAATTGATAATATAATTGAATGGCTACAAGCTCACAATTTAAAAATTAACTTGAGAAAATAAAATTTTATTCAGTTTAATAAGTCAAAACATAACCTACAAAAATCAATCAAATAGAAAAAACAAAATATTTAGGTGTTGTCATAGACCAGAATCTGAACTGGAAAGCACATATCGATGAAGTTTGAAAGTGTTCGTGGCATTGCATAAGAGCGCGAGGGGAACGGAGCGTTGACTTCATTAGACGTGACCTCTCCAACTTAACGTTTAGGTTCAATGTGCCTCTCACCATTTTGGTGATCGCTGCCAGTTTTCACCCTTGGGATCACTGACACATCACTGAACAGTTGCCGTCTAGTCGTCATAATGTAGCTAATTACATGTTTTGTCGCACCTTCGGGGATCGACCAGGTCCACTTTCTGTGGGGCTGCTTCTGAAAGAAAGAGTTCATTACAAAGAGTCTTTCGCCATGAAGTCCGCTCACTGCTGGTCCCTTAGGTTCCGTTGCCCTATCCCGAATTTCCCTACTTTCAGCACACCGTTTTCTCTTGTGCCTAGTTTTTCGTTGAAGTTTCCCATTAACATCGTATAGGTTTTAGAGGAACGCATGGCTCTATAAATATCCTCATACGTTTCATCCACCTCTTCATCGGGATGTGCCGAAGTTGGTGCGTAAACCTGTACGACCTTTAGCAAAATCCATTTAGTGATTCTGATCCCCTTATGAGTAACGCGACACAGACGCAGGTCCGCAGTCTCCGGTGGCTCCGCTATTCCTGGCTATGGTGGCGGACATGGTAACGGTGGGGTAGAGAAGAAGTTAAGAGAATACCATGAGTAAATGTATCCAGAAAAATTCAAAGAGTGGTTTATAACTTTTAATTTAAGTTTAAAATTTTAAGCCTTTCACAAAATATACCTGCGAATAGCACAATAACAACAAACCGTACCATTCTGTCCAAATCGACAAAGCGCCAAACAAAGCGAATAAGAAAGCAGATTTAGTAGCATGGCTGCAACACAATGGTGTGGAAGCATATATGAAATTATTCAAAGCGAGAGCGACGACGATGGTCGAACGACACAAGATCAAGCCACCTTTCACGGTGAACACGGTGGATGGTTTACTGAAGGAAGCATGTGCCGCGCCTGCTTTTGAAGACTGAGCATTCGCGACACCCATCGTGCACTGACTTTGGTAAGGTAGTCATACAATATGGTGTGTATGGTACCAACGGATAGGCTAGTCTTTTATGCTAACCTGTGAATGCATCTTCTATTACAAGTTTTTCAATAATTTTCATATTTTCTTCTGTAGAAAATAAAGAAAATTATAATGGATGATTTTGAGTGAGACATTCATTTTGATTACATGAAAATCAAAATAATAATTCATCTAAACAATGACAGCTCAACTAGTTGTAGTGAAATTGATTGAATAAATTTATTTTTAATCTAGCTTCTTTCTTAAATTTATATAACTCTGCCTCTAAAAATAAGCAGTTGCAATAAATACGAAGAAACTGATAAATTTTGTTTTAAGTTATCCGTTTCTAATGTCTTCTCACGGAATATAAAAAACAAGAGGAAGTAGCAAAACGCATCATTTGTAGCGTAACCACTGTCGCCAAACTCACACATACACAAGAAAGAAATGTGTACCGACAATTGTGTACCATTTCAATAATTTTCGCGTGATTGACTATTAAAAATTAAAAGAGAAAGGCATTATGTTACTTACCATTCACTTGAGTACGAACCATAAGTCCTTAAAAATAGAGATCATATTACTTTTCATCAACGAAGTTTCTAGAATTATGAGCAAATTTAGCTTCTTAACGCTAGATGTCGCAATAATACATTCACACTATTATAGACACAATGCTAATAGACATAACGTTGACATTGCCCTACCTAACCTGTACTGCTACGTGAATGGTAGTTACTCTTCCTGAATATGATCTGGCTTATATCGATATTCGTTATATGATTATTATCATGTATATTGTATATGAATTGAATTGACTAAAGAAACTATGTATAAAAATTATAAAATGAGTAAAATTGCAAAATTTGTTGGAAATTGCCTTGATGTACTACGTATATCCCCGTAATTCATATGGCCGGCATATAATTAATTGTCTTTAATGGAATTTTATTGACATTTAGCTAAATTATCATTTATGAAATGTAAACAAGGAAAATAATAAATACAATAATTTTTAAATTTTTTATTGTCATTAAAATAACACATATTTGTGAAAAATTATCGTTTTCACACTTTAATATTAAATTTTAGACGATAATGAATTCGGATACTAATGTAGTTCATTATATTAAGATCACTTTTATTTCAGCTTCTTTCCAAAAGTCATGAGTACTTCTAAACTACTTACTTCTCTGGCTTAGCAACCCTAACAAATGTTCATTTATAGGGTATCAACATATAATTTCGTATATTTCCATAGACATCAAGTATATGCAAATTGATTTCTTATATTTACGCGAACACTACACATTTTTAAATAAAACTAATTTTACGGATTTTATCGCGTATATTAACTTATTTTTATTTTTATAGTATTTATAGATGAACCTTAGTTTAACGACATAAGGTTGAAAATTACTTGTAATAAATGCAATTTGACATTTTGACCATAATTAGTCAAATTTCTATCCAAAAAAGGCAAACAAAAAACTTTATACAATGTTGGAGTGAAAAAATATTTTAAACTCCATTTAAAATATTTTTTCACTCCAACATTGTATAAAACGGTATATTTTCGCATATGTCAGTTAAGCAGTGATCCGTCAGCTTGCAACAATTTGAGCGTGCGACTGACAGTCAATTACGCTCTACTGTCACTAATTGTAACACGCCTGCCCCGCCTACTTTGGACTTCCTCTTGTCATTTATATTTCTTGTTTATTCTTATATTAATCGAAATAAAACTGTAAATGATTACCATCTCTAAAGAATTGATATCGATTTTTCTTAAGAATCGAATATTGTACGTACCGATTTTTTGGTTGTCATGTTTAGTCCAATAAGTCTGACAGCTGTCAAAAGGTATTTCTTAGATTTGGTTGAATATGAGAATAGTACTGTGATTGTCGATTCGTCTTAAACGAAGTGAGTGTTTTTACGTGGTAGAGCCATGCTACAGAGATATATTATGGTTGTAACGTGAATCGTTACGTTAGACCGGGGTAGGACCACGCTCTCACAGAATACCAAAGTGAAATAGCAGCTTAATGTTGATGTGTTTCGATAGAGAACCGAAAACCCTTTTTACTGGAAGCGAGGGATTCCATCTTAGTCCTTAAGGGTGACAACGCATCTGCATTTTGATTCTTAATCGAGGATAACGGTAGATGTGTATGGGCTACAGTATTCACTTACCATCAGGTGGAGTTTATACTTGTTTGTGACCCTTATTCTATAAAAAAGGGTGCGGTCGTGTGCAGGGTGCCGGCACGGCGCGCGCGCCGGCGTGTCGGAGTGCGTGGAGGCGCACGCGGGCCCGGTGACGGCCGTGAGCTGCCACGCGGCGCCCGGCGCGCTGGACCTGGCGCACCTGTACCTGTCCGCCTCCGTGGACTGGAGCGTCAAGCTGTGGAGCACCAAGCAGGCGCGCCCGCTCTACTCGTTCGAGGACAGCGGCGACTACGTGGCGGACGCGCGCTGGTCGCCGCAGCACCCCGCGCTCTTCGCCGCGGCGGACGCGGCCGGCCGCCTCGACCTCTGGAACCTGAACCGCGACACCGAGGTACCTACTGCACCACCCCCTTAATAAATTGCACCGTTACCATTACAGCCTATTAAAATCTACTACTGAACGAAGCCATCCATAGTTTACCTCATGGAGGGGATTTTTGCCATAGTTACCAAGTTTCTTAATTTTAATCGTTATTAAGAAACCACTGCTGTCCAATACGACACCCACGGGATTATATGGGGTAGTGGATATTCTTACACCGCCCCTACACAAATTATTGCACATACGCATATATTCATACTCGAAACTTTGTATTTAAAATTTAACTTGAATTATTTAAATAAATAATTCAAACATTCTTTAATATGCATATACTAGTCACACTACTTATTGCCTCTCCATCAGTATAGTCAACGTTCAAAATTATAACAATGAAATAACCGATGAAATTCATTTACTAGTGGTCGCGGTGAAGAAGAATGTAAAATAAGATAAGATAAAAAACAATCTTTTTTTTAAAAAATCTTATCTTTTGTACTAATTTTTTTAATAGGATTATAAGGTCTATTATATACTATTTCAAAGTTATCCATTCGTTATTAAACACACGATATATTATTGTGGTATTCTGGTGGATATTCAAGTGTAATATACCGTTAGACGATAATTTCCAGGGTTAGCTTGCTTCGGATCTCCTAACAGATATTATAAAGGCACGCGGATAACAGTTGTAAGGATTACTCAAGCGCCTATCCATTCATTGCCGGACAGCCTGTATATAAGACTTAACACCTGTTAGGTTATCTGCAATTATATTATAGTTGTAGCACGAATGGATCGGCTCGACTGGGATAGGACCTAGTTCTCACAGAATACCAGCGTAAAATAGCAGCTTAATACTGCTATGTTTCGTATGGTGAGTGTAAAAAATTGTGGACCTTTGTTACTCGAAACGAGGAATTCCATCTTAGTTCTCATGGGTGACAACGTGTCTGCATTTGGATTCTTAATCGATGATAAAAGTACATGTCTATGGGCCACTGCGGTGGCTTCTAAGGTCGCTTGTCATCCTTATAGTATAAAAAATATATAAAAAGGGTAGTTGAGTGTAGAGCTGCAGCTGTAGCGTGGTGGTTGTGTGCAGGTACCGGTGGCATCGGTGCAGGCGGGCGGCGCGCTGAACCGTGTGGCGTGGAGCCCGCCCGGCTCGCACCTGGTGGCCGGCGACGACGCGGGCAAGATCTACCTCTACGAGCTGGCCGAGGTCGGTGCACACACACACGCTCACACACACACATACACACACACGCGCACACGCCTCACCGCGTGGCGTGGAGCCCGCCCGGCTCGCACCTGGTGGCCGGCGACGACGCGGGCAAGATCTACCTCTACGAGCTGGCCGAGGTCGGTGCACACACACACGCTCACACACACACATACACACACACGCGCACACGCCTCACCGCGTGGCGTGGAGCCCGCCCGGCTCGCACCTGGTGGCCGGCGACGACGCGGGCAAGATCTACCTCTACGAGCTGGCCGAGGTCGGTGCACACACACACGCTCACACACACACATACACACACACGCGCACACGCCTCACCGCGTGGCGTGGAGCCCGCCCGGCTCGCACCTGGTGGCCGGCGACGACGCGGGCAAGATCTACCTCTACGAGCTGGCCGAGGTCGGTGCACACACACACGCTCACACACACACATACACACACACGCGCACACGCCTCACCGCGTGGCGTGGAGCCCGCCCGGCTCGCACCTGGTGGCCGGCGACGACGCGGGCAAGATCTACCTCTACGAGCTGGCCGAGGTCGGTGCACACACACACGCTCACACACACACATACACACACACGCGCACACGCCTCACCGCGTGGCGTGGAGCCCGCCCGGCTCGCACCTGGTGGCCGGCGACGACGCGGGCAAGATCTACCTCTACGAGCTGGCCGAGGTCGGTGCACACACACACGCTCACACACACACATACACACACACGCGCACACGCCTCACCGCGTGGCGTGGAGCCCGCCCGGCTCGCACCTGGTGGCCGGCGACGACGCGGGCAAGATCTACCTCTACGAGCTGGCCGAGGTCGGTGCACACACACACGCTCACACACACACATACACACACACGCGCACACGCCTCACCGCGTGGCGTGGAGCCCGCCCGGCTCGCACCTGGTGGCCGGCGACGACGCGGGCAAGATCTACCTCTACGAGCTGGCCGAGGTCGGTGCACACACACACGCTCACACACACACATACACACACACGCGCACACGCCTCACCGCGTGGCGTGGAGCCCGCCCGGCTCGCACCTGGTGGCCGGCGACGACGCGGGCAAGATCTACCTCTACGAGCTGGCCGAGGTCGGTGCACACACACACGCTCACACACACACATACACACACACGCGCACACGCCTCACCGCGTGGCGTGGAGCCCGCCCGGCTCGCACCTGGTGGCCGGCGACGACGCGGGCAAGATCTACCTCTACGAGCTGGCCGAGGTCGGTGCACACACACACGCTCACACACACACATACACACACACGCGCACACGCCTCACCGCGTGGCGTGGAGCCCGCCCGGCTCGCACCTGGTGGCCGGCGACGACGCGGGCAAGATCTACCTCTACGAGCTGGCCGAGGTCGGTGCACACACACACGCTCACACACACACATACACACACACGCGCACACGCCTCACCGCGTGGCGTGGAGCCCGCCCGGCTCGCACCTGGTGGCCGGCGACGACGCGGGCAAGATCTACCTCTACGAGCTGGCCGAGGTCGGTGCACACACACACGCTCACACACACACACATACACACACACGCGCACACGCTTCACCGCGTGGCGTGGAGCCCGCCCGGCTCGCACCTGGTGGCCGGCGACGACGCGGGCAAGATCTACCTCTACGAGCTGGCCGAGGTCGGTGCACACACACACGCTCACACACACACATACACACACACGCGCACACGCCTCACCGCGTGGCGTGGAGCCCGCCCGGCTCGCACCTGGTGGCCGGCGACGACGCGGGCAAGATCTACCTCTACGAGCTGGCCGAGGTCGGTGCACACACACACGCTCACACACACACATACACACACACGCGCACACGCCTCACCGCGTGGCGTGGAGCCCGCCCGGCTCGCACCTGGTGGCCGGCGACGACGCGGGCAAGATCTACCTCTACGAGCTGGCCGAGGTCGGTGCACACACACACGCTCACACACACACATACACACACACGCGCACACGCCTCACCGCGTGGCGTGGAGCCCGCCCGGCTCGCACCTGGTGGCCGGCGACGACGCGGGCAAGATCTACCTCTACGAGCTGGCCGAGGTCGGTGCACACACACACGCTCACACACACACATACACACACACGCGCACACGCCTCACCGCGTGGCGTGGAGCCCGCCCGGCTCGCACCTGGTGGCCGGCGACGACGCGGGCAAGATCTACCTCTACGAGCTGGCCGAGGTCGGTGCACACACACACGCTCACACACACACATACACACACACGCGCACACGCCTCACCGCGTGGCGTGGAGCCCGCCCGGCTCGCACCTGGTGGCCGGCGACGACGCGGGCAAGATCTACCTCTACGAGCTGGCCGAGGTCGGTGCACACACACACGCTCACACACACACATACACACACACGCGCACACGCCTCACCGCGTGGCGTGGAGCCCGCCCGGCTCGCACCTGGTGGCCGGCGACGACGCGGGCAAGATCTACCTCTACGAGCTGGCCGAGGTCGGTGCACACACACACGCTCACACACACACATACACACACACGCGCACACGCCTCACCGCGTGGCGTGGAGCCCGCCCGGCTCGCACCTGGTGGCCGGCGACGACGCGGGCAAGATCTACCTCTACGAGCTGGCCGAGGTCGGTGCACACACACACGCTCACACACACACATACACACACACGCGCACACGCCTCACCGCGTGGCGTGGAGCCCGCCCGGCTCGCACCTGGTGGCCGGCGACGACGCGGGCAAGATCTACCTCTACGAGCTGGCCGAGGTCGGTGCACACACACACGCTCACACACACACATACACACACACGCGCACACGCCTCACCGCGTGGCGTGGAGCCCGCCCGGCTCGCACCTGGTGGCCGGCGACGACGCGGGCAAGATCTACCTCTACGAGCTGGCCGAGGTCGGTGCACACACACACGCTCACACACACACATACACACACACGCGCACACGCCTCACCGCGTGGCGTGGAGCCCGCCCGGCTCGCACCTGGTGGCCGGCGACGACGCGGGCAAGATCTACCTCTACGAGCTGGCCGAGGTCGGTGCACACACACACGCTCACACACACACACATACACACACACGCGCACACGCCTCACCGCGTGGCGTGGAGCCCGCCCGGCTCGCACCTGGTGGCCGGCGACGACGCGGGCAAGATCTACCTCTACGAGCTGGCCGAGGTCGGTGCACACACACACGCTCACACACACACATACACACACACGCGCACATTTGTATGTATGTCACGAGATATCATCACAGATTGAGAACCGATTTTAATAGTTCTTTTTTTATTAAATAGGTTATACTTAAAGGCTGGTGCCATAAATAATAATAATAATATCATTTATTGGCTAAACATGGTACATTAAAGATGACAAATAGTTGTACATAGTTCACATGTTTACCACATTTGGCATGCGAAAATTATTTAACATAATATATTAAATCATTATTTTCATAAGTAAGCAAGTCAATAAATTTATGTACTTATTAAGGAATTATATTAAATTAAATTTATTAAAATTACAATTGTCATGTCAATCACTATTGTTTTATAACTAGGCAAATCAATTAAGTATATATATAGAAAACAATTAAAATGTCAAAGGAGTATTTAATCTAAAGAACATCAAATAAATATAAATGTTTAAAGCATGGCTATGTCAAGTTTTGGCAACGATATTCTATTAATTTAAGAAGTCTTTTATATCATAAATACACTTTAATAACAACCAGCTTTTGAGCTTGGTTTTAAATTTACCGATTTCCATCTCTTCTTTAACATTTACCGGTAGTTTATTAAATATCTTTATACTTATCGCGTAACAACCCTTTTGATAAAATGCAGTTTTCGGTATTCAGTCTAATACTAGTCTATCTGATTTTCTAGTGTTACGCAAATATACATCGGACGCTTTCTTGTACATATGTAAATTCCTTTTTACATGAACACCTGCTTCAAATATATACATTCCTGGTAAAGTTAGGAGGTTAAGCTCCTTAAATAAGGGCTTACATGATTCATACCATTTAGCTCCAGTTAAGGCTCTTACACACTTTTTTTGAGCTAAAAAAGCTCTTTTTGAATAAGAGCTATTACCCCATATTAGTAATCCGTACCTTAAAATTGCTGCAACATACCCATGATATGCAATGAGTGCGATTTCTCGTGACGATGTTCTTCTTAACCTGTTTAGCACGTATATATAAATTTTTTTACAGACTTCGTCAATATGAGCCATCCAATTACAATTACTGTCAACTTTTAATCCCAGAAATTTCATCTGTTCGTTTTGTTTTAGTTTATCATTATTATACATTATGTCAAGATCAAGTTTGTTTTTCATATTACTATAGAATTGTACATAACAGGTTTTAGCAATATTAACCTTTAAGTTATTGTCATGTAACCATGAAATAACATTAATTGCGCATTTTATGTCATTTTCATAATAATGTTTATTTCTATGGCTATTCTTTATAATCAATGATACGTCATCCGCAAATAAAATGCATGGGAACGGAGTTGAATCCGGTAAATCATTTATGTAAATTATAAACAAGAAAGGCCCGAGAACACTTCCTCGAGGAACGCCAGAGTTTTTAAGAACTTTTTGCGAACTAAATTTTGTCAAAACATTATTTTTGTTAGGGCTTACGATTTCCACACACTGCTTTCTTGATGACAAATACGATTTGATCCATTGTAATGTTAGTCTTCTTATTCCATACTTTTCTAACTTACATAATAAGGTGTCATGGCAAACAAAGTCAAATGCTTTTGACATATCAAAAAATATACTTGTTACATTCACCTTATCATCTATTGCATCTGTAATTCTTTTTAATAGATCAAAACTTGCCATCATGGTTGATTTATTTTGCTGAAAGCCATATTGCTCTTTTTTTATAAATTTATTTTCATTAAAATAATGAGTAAGCCTACTATGCATAGCTTTTTCAAATACTTCGGAGAAAACGGACAAAATTGTTATTGGACGGTAATTGTTCATATCTTTTTTATTACCTTGCTTGAATAAGGGCTTGACCAAAGATAGTTTTAATAATTCTGGGAAAACACCAATTTCGAATGATAAATTTATCAAGTATGTAAGTATAGGCAATATTTCATCCTTGCAATATTTGATAAATTTCGTATTTATACCATCATATCCTTCACTTTTAGAATTGTTTAAGTTGCCTATTAATCTTTGTCTCCTGCAAAGTAATCGGACGTAAAAACATGCTTTTGCACGGGCTTATAATGTTATAGAGGCGTGTTGTTCTCGCTTGGTTAAAATCTAACTGTCTTTGTCTGGATTTTATAATACTCATTAAAAGTATTAGCAATTATTTGTGGAGATCTTAGACATTCATCATTCTTATTTATCATGTTCGCATAATAATTGATCGATTTTAACCCTGCTTCCAATTTTATTATATTCCATGAACATTTTCCCATATTTTTAGTGGTATTTATTCGTTTAAAATAATTTATTGTTTTGGACACGTCAATACACTTTTTTAGTAATTTAGTGTACCCTTTATATTTTTCTTTGTTCTCTGCAGTCTTTTTTTTTATAATAATTAACTTTGAGTTTCCTTTTAGCAACTTAGTCTTAAACCTTTTGTCATCCAATTATTTTTATAATTTGTGTTTATTTATTTTTTCTCTTAATCATCGGAAAGCATAGATTATATAATAACATAAAAAGTTCTTTGAATTTACTATATGCAACATTAATATCCTTAAAAGTAATATCTTTTAAATATAATTGCGAAACATGTTAATGTAATATAAATTGTAATTCCTTTTGTACTCCCAAATGTCCATTACCTTTTTTCTTTGTTTATGTACATCAATAGATAATTTTTGCGCCGATTCATAATCAGATAAATATAATTTTTTAATGCATGATGATGCGTTCATTATATTGCTAATCATATGATCAATACAATTCTTTCCACGAGTTGGTTCATTAACATGTCTATATAAATTGTAATTCCGAATAATATCATTTAATTCAATTGAACTTTTACTATTTTCTAGAGTATTAATGTTAAAGTCTCCAGCTATAACGATTTTTTTATTATGATTATTTATTAATTTTGACAATAAATTTTGTAATTTAAAGAAGAATATATTTACATTCGAACCAGGTGTCCTATAGTTGCATATAAAGTAAATGTTATGTAAAGGAATTTCTATTCCACAACATTCAAATTGCTCGGATTCTGTTACTTACTTACTTATCTTCACGCACAATCCCTGACGGGGTAGCCAGAGAGAACAGATCGCCAAGTGTCACGATCCTTACAAACTTACAAATTCGCTCGGTTTCTGTTAATTCCGTAATACATTTTATTTCATTCCATTCTATATCTTCTTTTATCAAAATACATATGCCACCTCTACTTTTTATACGACCATAGAAACTAGCTAATTTAAAACCAAAAACGTTATAATTATTATAATCACTTGCTTTAACAAAAGTTTCAGTTAGTGTATGTTCCTGTTCTTCCAAATATTTTAATGTTAATTCCAAAATATCCTTTTTGGAGAAAACGCCAGCTATATTTTGGTGTAAGTTTGTAAATTTCATATTTGTAGACTTTGCGTTAAGACCGAAAGGAATCATGTGATACCTGTTTATAAGATTAATTATAAATTCAGGCGACACATCGAAAACCGTTGAAGCGGGCTGTCGTCGGACTGACCCGAGTGAAGCATAATTTCTATAAAAACTTCAAAAACGCCGTCATAAGGTCTAAAATTGCGTAGCGTCCGCGACGATTTAGATCGCTCAGTAAATCGCTTAGAATCTTAAAATATTTTTAAAAAATTATTGATTTTAGTAATTAAAATAATGAGCAAGTAAATTACGAATATTGATGTTATGAATGTATTTGAGTGATTCCCAAACATATAGATTAAGTAATTTCGTTGTAATTTCAACTATAGTGATTTTTTGAGGTGATTTCGCAAATAATTATGATCGAGTCAAAATTTAACAATCGTGTTTTTGAAGAAGCAAATTCAAGATGAAGACATGAATTTACCTGTATCAAAATTCCAGTTTCGTTAATCGTGTCATACTCCTATACTATTAGATGAAAGAATGTGCATTTTTTGCGGTGTCGCCTTAAGAGAAAAATTCCATTCCTAAGGGTAGCAAATAAATAACTTCTTTTTAGCAATTTACTTTTTGTTAAAAGTTATAATTTCGTTAAGATATTCTCACTAACAAACCTGAGTATGGAAGTTGGGGGTATTTCACCACCGGGCCTCGGAAAGTACGTAAAGTCGTTGCTCCTGCCCCTGATCTGTCTCAGGTCGTGTAGTTTTGCTGTCCTATCGAACTATGAGAGAAATAGAGAGTGCACTTTTATTTAAATACACTCGACATTGTAATCCCGTCCAGCGCAGATGACTAGTCTCCGTTGAGACCGGCCGCCGTGACAGAAATTCGGTCTGGAGGAGCTTATTGTGGAATATTAGACTTGTAAGCATTATTAATTTTTATACAGCATGTGGCACAGCCGCGGCACGACGAGTGGAGCAAGTTCGTGTACACGCTGCAGGAGCTGCGCAACAACCAGGCCGACGACGACTCCGAGCGCCTCGGCCTCGCCGCCAGCGGCCCGCCCTCGCTCTCCAGCCTCACCTCGCTCGCCAGCAACCCGCTCAGGTGACAGCCCTGCACACACACACACACGCACATGCTCAGGTCACAGCCCTGTGTACCTACAAATACACAGGCTTTCGAAGTAGAAGACAGAGCTTTACTTCACATTAAACTGCTGTCATAACCTTTTTTTTATAGGATATGGGTGACAAACGAGCACACAGTCCACCTGATGGTAAGTGGTTGCTGTGGCCCATAGACATCTACATCTATCCTCGATTACGAATCAAAATGCAGATGCGTTGTCACCCATGAGGACTAAGATGGAGTGCCTCATTTCCAGTAAAAAGGGTCTCCGGTTCTCTACACTCACGAAACACAGCAGCGTTAAGCTGCTATTTGACGCTGGTATTCTGTAAGAGCGTGGTCCTTCCCCGGTCGAGCCGACCCATTCGTGCTGCAACTATACTAATAATATAGCTGCAGCATGGCTCTACCACGTAAAAGACCTCCGTGCGCAATACGACACCCATGAGACGATATGGGATAGTGGATATTCTTACACCGCCACTACATACACGATTGAATGTTGCTTTAGGCAAGCATATTTTATTATAGTCCGTATGCGAAGATATTACTTAACATTACAAATTATAGTATTACGTACCGATTTTGATCGTGTTATTTTGTCGTAAATAGGGCAGGTCTCACTTTGAAAGGACTTTTCATTTTATTATTTTATGGTTATAGAAGATCAAATATTAGGTATTGATACAATAAAATACATTTACGTATTTATATATGTATACTTTCACTTTCAACATACCTATTTGCCATAAAAAATATCTATACGTTAATTTGCTTTTTCGCCACAACAGTTCTTTTTCATGATTTCGTTGTTACTATTTTTCGAATTTTCTTATATTTGTAAATTGTTCTAGATAACTGAAATGATGGGACGACACGTGCGGGTGGAAATTGTGATTATCTACGGCTACTTCTGGACCGCTTGCAAAAGACCATCATATGTGATGTGTTGCTAACTATAACAATCTAGGCAATTAATTATTCATTATAATCTCATATAAATTAAACTTTAAAGTAAGACTTGCATATCCATTCTTAACACAGTCAAGCTATGTTTTTATTTATAATAAGTTGTACGGCAGTCTTGCGGTTAATATGTACAACAGAAATGTATAAAGGTGTATGTGGGAATTGATAAGAAATCGAATGAGGTAAAAAAAAATCGAAAAAAAGTGAATAAAAAGAAATACTAATTTGTATTAGAATAATAGAAAATAGAAAATTAATAAATTTCACCAAAGCTGTAGTTTTCAATGATCAAATCAGCACAAAACATACAGCCTGCAAATTAAAAAAAAAAACTTTTTAAGCATTTCAGTATTGTATAGAATGAAGATATCTCTCATAGTTACTTAGAAAGAAGAGATTTTTATAAGTTATTATGTATAATAAATAAAACATAAAATTAGAATACTGGTATAGCTTACTATTTATTTTAGTGAAAAGCAGCTAAGTGACAAAATGAGCATAATATGTCTAGTATGTATACAGGCCTTCCAAGTTGTTACACTGAAAATATTTTATTTAAACTTAACTTTACGAACAGACCTTGTTCTACGTGTATAAAAGGCTTCAATTATTTTAAAAAGCCAAGCTTATTATATAAACCCATTTAATTTATTATACAGTTCTGCTAACTTTTTTGTAAAATAGTTATATTAAAGACATTCTTTACGTTACATTTTCATATACTTACTTATATTTGTTAGAATTATTACAGCTAAATGAAATAAATGTTTTGGCTCATTTCCTATTGTTTTACTTTTGTATTCTTTCAATATAAAAAACTCGTGCATCTCTTGCTCATACTTTTTTTTTATAGGATCGGTTGACAAACGAGCACACAGTCCACCTGATGGTAAGTGGTTCCTGCGGCCCATAGACATCTACATTTATCCTCAACAAAGAATCAAAATGCAGATGCGTCTTCACCCGTGAGGACTAAGATGGAATTCCTCTTTTCCAGTAAAATGGGTCTGCGGTTCCCTACACACACACGGAACACAGCAGTGTCAAGATGCTATTTTACGCTGGTATTCTCTGAGAGCGTGATCCTTCCCCGGCCGAGCCGACCCATTCGTGCTACAACTATACTGCTTATATAGCTGCAGCATGGCTCTACCACGTAAAAAATACATAATGTAATCTTAATTAAAATTAATGATTTTCTCAGAAGACCACTATCAGTAGTTTATCGACCAAATTGGCGATATATTAAAAATGGGCCAAATCAAGAGTACCTTTAACCGACGAGCGTGTATGCGTAGGTATATATGGATGTGGAGGAAGCGAGAGAGGTGTGTCAGGATCGTGCCAAATGGAAGTCCATAATCTCTGCCTACCCCTCTGGGTGACAGGCGTGAGTGTTTATGTACCACTTTCAGATTATCTAAAATAATATGACATAATGTTTGAGGTAATTCAAGATATAATGATTTGTGATTACCTACATTATCTTTGATTCAACACAGTGATCTCACCAGACGCTAAGTTAACGTTTATAATTGACATTATATAATTATTGACAATATTAACATTTACTTAACATTTGACATTGAACTATAATAATAATCTTATTTGATGTAATAATACTGACTCATATATCTTATTGACATTTCTCTGACACTGTAGTATAAAAAATTAATTATCAAATCAACTGAATAATATTAAATATATGTTGTCAAACTCGATAAGTGTTGTTGTTTAGGTTACTTGACCATTAATATTTGCACACCACTAAGGTAGAATATGTAGAACGAATTATACTCAAACACCATTGTACTACCACATTCTTGCAAATAAAGATTATTATTATTATATGGAGGCTCCTTGGCTCTAAAACTTGTAACTGTGTTAGCGATAACGCCAAGGAAAAAAAAATTGGAAGATAGAATAAGGAATTTATATAGGTATGGAATTTTTTAAGAATATTCTTGTAAGCTTAGTTAACAAACCCAAAGTTATAATGTTATGACAAACTAATTGCCAATTCATAATAAGCTTAATCTAAGTGTAGTTCTAACAATCTCACTAATAACCTGTGTATGGGACAACTGTAGATAACGATGGCGGTGTGTGGTGCGTGCCGAATGATAGAAGTTGACAATGGGAGAGTAACCTACCAACAGGTTCAGGCATTACTAGGCATTGGTAGTTCTTAAATAGAAACAATTTCCATACTAGATAGATAAACCCATTAATTGACCATGCTAAAAATATTCGTAAATGTTGTATTTGGCATTGTCATAGGTTGAGAGGTTGGTGTTAAGTTTTATACCAAAAAGATGACATCTGTACAGCACATGTTTCTTTTAGATATTTTGCTCACAAAAGTAAAGAGAGGCGCTCAACGGAAATAACCGGTCAAGTGCAAGTCATACTCGCACATGAGGGGTTTCGTACCATCGTAATACACGTTCCTAGTAAGAAACCCCTTTTAATTTTTATTATTTGTTAATAGTGGCAACAGAAATACACATTCTGTGAAAATTTCAACTACCTATTACGGAGCATGAGATACAGCCCACTGACAGACAGACATACGGACAGCGGAGCCCTTTGTAATAGGTTGCCGTTGGTTACCCTTTGGGTACGGAACCCTAAAAAATAGTAATGTCAAGGATTGGTATATACACATCAGTTACCCAGGAAGGGAGAGAGGTTAGGCTGGAAGGTGGAGAGATTCTAAAGAGGGCCCACTGCTTCTCTCAGTAGTCAGTAACTACAGTGCATGTAGACAGTGTTAAAATGGCCTTTTCTTCTTTATTAGCGGTTCGACTTACGGATGATGTAATATTAGACCAATTGTGAAAGGAAATCTATCGAAGAATGAGAATTTTGATGATGACGACTTGGAATTTGAACCAAATACCCTATTTGATCAAATGGCCTGTGAAAATCTCTTCGATGATGACAATCCTAATGAAGATGAAAAAATAAGTCACCAAACATCACTATTGATATATCTACATCGACGCCGCAACATCCTGCTTCATTAATGACGCAACATCCTCCTCCACCGATGACGCAGTCTCCATCAACAATGCAACCGTTTTGTCCGTCATTAGCATCCACGTCGTGTCGTTATCGAGAAAGGTCAGTATATTTGTCCCCTAAACGATCGAGATCAACCACCAGTACACCGGGAAGAAAATCGGTGTCACCACCATGTTCTCAAGGGAAAAGATCGGCAGCAACATCAAGTGGTAGGAAAAGAATATGGAAGCAGGTCCATTTGTAGATAAACTGCATAACTATCTTCCCTTGCCTACAAAAGTAGTAAAGCGTCCTATCGACTATTTTCGTGACTACAGAGATAACGAATTTATAGAAAGGATATTTCACTGCACTAACTTATATTACTTACGTACTACGGGCCGTGAATTGAAAAGTACAAGCAGTAAGATCGCAACCCTTCTTGCAATACCAATAATCATGGAACATATGTGTTCCTTATCCCAGACTGCCTAAGTGTTTGAGGGCTTAATGTGACGGAACAGGTTCTTCACCCTTCGCAATTCACTACACGTAGTTGACTCAGGTTCTCCATCTGCAATCGAAACTGGTAATCCACTATGGAAGGTTCAACCCATGATCGACCAAATTAAAGGTGCCTGTAGTAAATTAGAAAGGGTGCCGGGATTTTACTCAATCCATGAGCAGATGATACCATTTACAGGCCGCTGTCAACTTCGTCAGGTAGTGAAGAACAAACCTAGGCCTGTGGGAATTAATAACTTCGTCCTCACAACTAGTGAAGGATTAATGTTAGATTTCGAAATATACAGAGTGCAAGGACGATGTTTGGTGATACGAATCTCGGTCTGAGTCCTTCGATAATTACATCTAGCTAAAAGTATTCCCCCAGGTAACTGTGTTTACCACGATAGATATTTCACCACCGTTCTTATAATTGAAGAAATGAACAAGTTAATTCTGCATTTGACTGGGACAAAAACGTTAAAGTTAAATCGTATCCCTTACCGAACTACAATAAAATTTAAAATGAATTCTCAAATGACTCGTGGTGAAAGCCAACATTTTGTTTGCGTACCTATTACAATAGTAAACTGGAAAGATAATAAATCCGTATTACTTGCATCCAACTGTACTGGCTTGCCGCGACGACTATCGTTAAAAGGTGGGATAAAACCATTAGACGGTACGTTGACGTGAATGCTCCAAAAATAGTAAAAAATTATAAACCAACACATGGGAGGAGTTGATGTCCTGGACCAACACATGGAGTGTTATAGAACTTTCATAAAAACAAAAAAAAATGAACCTTAAGATTGATAACGCACTTTTTTGACCTCGCGCTCGTAAACTCTTGGGAGGCTGTATAGAAACGACTGCAACAGTAACAATTATTATGCAAGGAAACACACGATGCCTTTACTCGATTTCCACTTGGATGTGGCAGATGCCTTATCCTCGTCGCGAGTATAAAATATACAGACCAGCAAATAGACCGTCCGTAGAAAAACGATATGTGTGTATGTGGACACAATAATAAGTCGATCTCATTGATTGTAATAAGTAAAACCTAAGATCTTGTTGAAGTAATTAAAGTTTATTTTTGTTGTGATTAAAGAAATTAAGAAATACTCATACTCATTTGTAATAAATATGTCATGATTTTACAAATAACTACAGTTTATTTTTATATATAATTGTAATACAGACTGATTAGTGATAGGAAAACATGAATATTCACATTTTATTTTAATTGATGTTTATTATTTCATTTATTCTACCTAAATTATTAGAATAGAATAGAATAGAATAGATTATTATATTTTATTAATAGCACGACTGTGAGTATATTTACATATACTCACAGTCGTGCTATTAATAAAAATTATTCCTGAGCCTCACGAATGTGAGGGTTTGATTACTGAAGACCAGGTTTCTTGTGATTTTTTTTTTCAGTAATTTTTCCATGACATCTGATCAGTTTCGAAACATTATAAGTTTTTACCGATTTATGCGAGTTTTTAACTCCCGGTTGCAAAAGGAGATAAAAAAATAGAATATCATTCATGTATCTAAATTTTTAAGGTACCAATTTTATTTTTTTTTAGAGAATAAGGGTGACTAACGAGCATTCAGTACACCTGATGGAAAACGGCTGCTGTGGCCGATACATCTATCCTCGATTAATTACCAAATTGCAGTTGCACCCGGTACTTGGTAACGTTTTCCCGTGTGAATTTACATAAAACGCTTTGATCCCAGTAAAAAGTGTTTCTAGTTCTATACACTCACCATACAAAATACAGCAGAATTAAACTGCTATTTATGCGTGTATTCTATGAGACCCTTGTCCTTCTTGATCGGGCTGACCAATTTGTGTTACAAATATAATATAGCTGCAGCATGGTTCTACTGCGTCTATTCCATGTCTATTTTATCTTGACAATTTGCTAATTTGGTTTAAGGTCAATCGCAGATTGTGATAATTTTTACAGTTGTTTTTAGAGAAGGAAATAATGTTACAAATGTGATAGTTCAGTAGTGCAGTTGCTAACTGTTTAGTTGCAACATTGTGGGGCCATGTTTGATTGTGCTTTGAGACACAAATGTAAGTTTTTATAGTACTTAAGTTTTGATCAAGAAATAAAACATCAAACTATCATAATCACAACTTTATTAAGGAACAAAAGGTATAGCAACTCTCCCTTTTGACAAGTTCACCTCCTCCCAGCAAGTGCATTGTAAGGTTTTTCTATCCATAATGTCTGTGTATAGCTTCCCATCTAAATGGTCCATCTCATGTTGTGCTATACGGGCTGGCCAGTCAACGTATATTTGTTGTGTTTTTTCCCCTTCCTCATTGTAACCTGGGTAACAGAAATTTAATTTAATAATCTTTTTTCATGATGATAGCATTGTGACTATGCCTAACTACTGTGTCGCAGGTTCTGGGTAAAAATTCCAGGTGGGACTTATATTTGTGCAATATAGGAAATTATGGGGTTAATATGTCAACGTTAACGTCAACATCACACGTTTTTGATAATTTTGATAAAATTCGATATTTATTTCTTATTTTAAATCAACTAATAGTACATATGCAACTTTAAGTGTTGAGGCGGACAGGGCCGCAGGGAGGCGGAGGCGGAGTGTAGAGGGGCAGTCGACGACCGCCGCATTCCACCGAGGATGGCCGCGGTAGTAACCCGCGCACTATAGCTAGTCTTTAGTTTTAATATATACCTTTGTTACTCTTCTTATAAAAAAAAAATATATACATGTTTTTAAATACGAAATACGAAGATTTTACTCTTAAAAAATCAAACATATGAAGCTTTAATCCTGCGTAAACAGTAAAAAGGAGCATATTCACGACGTAGATTGAATCCACCATTGGTGAGAGGACGAACAAAATATTATATGAAATCATTGATTGCCACCAATTTTAACAAGACCCCTCGCTACTGGACAGATTTGATTGGTACGAAGCTTGCATACACTACAGATTGCAATATTTTATAACTACTTACACTTATTTCTGCTTGCCTAGTACCTGCAACTTACTGATCTTCAAAATAAACCTGTAACTATTTTTGTTTTTACAAATACACTTATTTAAAATGGCTGAATGTCCTTATCAGAATCAAATTTGAATGAACTCATGGAGAAGACTCCACCTAACTTTGTCTGCACACGCGTTAAGAGGAGAAGAGACGATGATTTTTTATCAGATTTTAATGCCTTTAAAGATGAAATAAAAACCTGGTGTTATCTGTGATGTCAGAAAACAATAAAGAAATTAATAAGATTAGTCAAAATTTGTCAGAAATTAAGGGAACCAATAATAAAATTGAAAACATAATTGAGTTGCTCGTGGCACAGAATGAGGACTTTAGGAAGAAAATAGAGAAACTAGAGAAAGAAGCACAAAAAGACAGATTACATGATGGTTTTAGAGAATGAGATTGAAGATTTGCAAATATTGATAATAATGATTGGATATCTGCAAATCAAATTTAGAGCTAAAGAATGTTCCTATAAAAAATGAGAAGACGGAAGAAGACTTAATTGAGATGGTACTTAACTTGTCCAAAACTGTAGAGTGTAATTTAGACAAAAATAACATCAAAGATATAGATATATATATATATATATAGAGTGAAGACTAAGAGGGAAGAAAAAAATACACCTATTATTGTAGAAACTTCATCCACAATTTTAAAGAGTGAATTTCATAGGACTTGTAAGAAATTGAATACAAAACGTAAAACAAAACTCTGCGCTAAGCATTTGAGTTGTCGCATTAAAGAGGATAGCAACTGCTCCGACACGAAAATAGGCGTGATATGTCAACTGACAGCTAAAGCTTCGCTTATACTTCTTAGCTCGTGACCTGGCAAAATCAAAGAAGTTTAAGTATTGCTGGACAGCTTATGGTAAATTTACGTTAGGTGAAAGATGACTCGCCAATAATTAAAATAAACTGCGAGACCCAAGTTCATCATTTGATGCAAGGAAAATGACTAGTCCGGGATGAGCTGAATTGTCAATTAAGAAGTGTATTTCTTTTGATATTTTTTTATAGGATAAGGGTGACAAACGAGCACGCAGTCCACCTGATGGTAAGTGGTTGCTGCGGCCCATAGACATCTACATCTATCCTCTATTACAAATCAAAATGTAGATGCGTTGTCACCCGTGAGGACTAAGATGGAATGCCTCATTTCCAGTAAAAAGGGCCTCCGGTCACCTGCACTCACCAAGCGAAACGCAGAGGTAAACCTCTACTTTACGCTGGTTTTCTGTGAGGTCGTGGTACCACCCCGGTTCGTATATTTATACTTCGTCTAAATATAGTTTTTGCTTTATTTTATCTGTTCGCAATATCTTTAGTGAGTATTTTTGTTATTATACTACATTTTACACACATATTCATTTTCACACATGTAAGCTTACATTGTATTATGCACACTTTATTTCCTTGCCTCTCAATTTCTTCATAGTTATTCTTAAAATATTATATGTATACTTATACCTCTGCATGAAAATAATGAGCCAAATATTATTGTTACTTTACACATGTAATCAAAGACAAACAAATACTATCAGCCTTGAAATTGCACATCATAATGGATAATTATCTTAATACATTGCATAAAATAGATTGCACCAATATTACGCAAGCATTCTTTTGTGATATTAGTGACATACCTAAACATAAATGCTAAGAAAGGTGATTTGAAAATTGTCTGCCAAAACATAAGAAGTGTGTATTGCAATTTTAGTGACTTACAGCTAAGCTTACTGAAATTATATGAAATTCGAACCAGATATTATAATTCTAACTGAATGCCAACTTAATGAAATTAAACCTATAACTATTCAACATTACTCTGGGTTTCAAACCTCTAAACATATAAATAAAAATGATGGTGTTTATTTATTTATTTAATCTTTCCTGCACCAAGTTGCACATACGGCAGACTTAATGCCATAGGGCATTCCCTCCCAGTCAACCATCAGGCTAAACAGAGATATACAAACAAGAGTGATGCAGCAGTAATCAAAGTGGTGTTGTGACCTACGTCTCTTATAATATTAAAATAAATGTTAAAGAAATTATACTCGATCAATCATCTTGCTTAGAAATAAACGCTCATAATAATATAATTCTAGGTATTTATCGATCTCCTTCAAATAATAATGCAGATGCTTTCATAGACACCCTTAATTTATATTTAGAATCTATTGAAAGATATAATAATATAATACTAACAGGCGATATTAATATAAATCTTATACCTTACCAAAACGAATCAACTTAAGAATTGAACAACCGTCAAAAGTACCTACCTATGCTAGCTTCTCATGGTATTGTTTCAGGTCATCTTTATCCTATGAGAGTAACCAGATGTCTGGATGATGCCATGATTAAATTGAACAAGAGTAAATTATTTGCAGATATTACTAACTAACTTACATACTACTACAACTAACCTCTATTCAATATTTCTTTGTCTATCTAAAGTAAAATTAAAAATGATAAGTAAAAAAACGAAAACAACTAACGATTTTGGTAAGGCTCTTGAAACCCTAAAAACGAAACATTTCAATTAATTATTATTCTCGAATGATCTAAACTTTGTGTGAGAAATGTTGATTATTAAAATATCAGTCTTTTCAAGAAAACACTATTACAAGAAGCATACCAAAAAACAAACGGACTATAAAACCGTGGATCACACCTGGCATTCTGAGATCAGAACTCAGAATAAAATGCAAAAGCAGTTAAGAAAGGAAACCCTTCAATATTATCCTTAAAATAAGCTACAAGAGATACAGAAACTTTTGTACTAAATTAATTAAAAAACTCTTGATGCAGTTAATTTGGCCAACGAATTTTTTGTTTTGGTAGGAGTTTAGCAGAAAATATTTTGTTAACATCCAATCACAATTATAATGATTTTCTGGATAGGAATAAAAGTAATCTAACATAATTTGTGTTGTTAGAAACAGATGTAAAAGAAGTCCATGATACACTCATGAATCTTAAAACCAACAGTTGGGATTGTTTGACAAGTTTTCTCAAATTTGTTGGGATTGAGGTTACTCCTGTCATTGCCCATCTTGCAAACCTCTTTTTTATAGGATAGGGTGACAAAGGAGCATACAGTCCACCTGATGGTAAGTGGTGGCTGTGACCCATTGATATCTACATTTATCCTCAATAAAGAATTTAAATGCAGATGCGTCGTCACGCGTGAGGACTAAGATGGAATGCCTCTTTTCCAGTAAAATGGGTCTCCAGTTCTTTACACTCACCATACAAAACACAGCAGTGTCAAGCTGCCATTTTGCGCTGGTATTCCGTGAGAGCGTGGTCCTTCCCCGGTCGAGCCGACCCATTCGTGCTACAACTATACTACAAATATAGCTGCAGCATGGTTCTACCACTCTAATTAAATTAATAATTATTGCTGTGATTGCGTCTTCTGAAGACCGATCCACACCACGCTCTCACAGAATACCAGCGTAAAATAGCATCTTAATGCTGCTGTTTCTGGAAGCGAGGGATTCCATCTTAGTCCTCACAGCTGAGAACACATCTGCATTTTAATTCGCAAACGAAGATAGATGTAGATGTCTATGGGCCACAGCAACCACTTACCATCAGGTGGTGTGAGCACATTTATCATCCCATTTCTAAAAAAAAATATAACCTCACACCTCACAGCTGAATTGATTCGTGGAAATAAGTGTCTTGCAGTCTTCTTAGATCTAAAAAAAGCATTCGACTCGGTCTCCATTCCCATTATTTTAAGTAAACTGGAGCTCATTGGTATCAGCCAACAGTCGCAAGGCATTTAATGAGTGGCCGACAGTAGGAATTCATAAAAGCAGACGAAGGTTATATGACCTTTACCATGAAAGATCATATAATCCTTCCAATGCTTTTAAAGAATATGTCAACAATTATTCTAAAAGTTTAAAAGAGTTTGCTCCACAGCCAAATCGTTACATATTAGCAACAAAATTAAGACGGCTAAGAATAAAATTCCAGTGACGAAGTGGCGCTTGAGTCGTTCGGACGGGTATCATTGCGCGCACGGTTATAATCGTTTAGTATTTTTTTTTGTGTTTTACCCGCTTCTACGGCCGGGCCTCGCGGGACCGGCCGTTTTAATGAACAATAATGGAAGCCGATCTTATTTCGACTGAATCAGCGGAGGAAATAAGAGATCATCTTTTGGAAGACCCAATACTAGATGAAATGTCTGATCATTTGGACGAGCAATTAGACTACGAACCTAGCCAAATATTAGGCAAAAGAGGAAGGAAAGGTTCGCCTTCGGACCTTCAGACCGAA